AGAGAACCGGGCGATTATCCACGGAATGTTGGCCAATTTATGGTTTGATGCATATGCCCTTGTAAGTTCCACAAAGTCATCGGAATGTGAAGCTACGTTTTCAACTTTGGGATGGAAAGATTTTGGTGTCAAACCAGGACAAACACGCATTGACCATTTCCTTTGCAATTATTCGGCCATGAGCATGGTGGGTGATTGTGTGGTTATTAAGGGGTCCCCCTTCAAAGGACACCGCCCTGTGTTTCTGACGATCCGGCCGGAAGTGATACATGAACCTTATTACGTAGTTACCCCCCATGATCAATGGGAATTGCCCCCCAAACCAAGAAATGACTCCGAATGGGACATCAGGGAGGCTTCATGTCGTCCAATTTTAGATAAGTATGTTCCCGAATTAATCCAAGCATCTTCAACTGGTGATGCTGAGCAGGTATGGTCGGTTGCTTGTCAAATTGCGTCTGATATGTTGGATTCCCTTGCTTCTACGAAAACTAGACACACCAGGGGCACCATTCCCAAATTCAAACTGTTTTCCTCAGTTTCAAAAAATCCCACAACATGGCTTACCAAGACACTAGCCAGAATTACAGAGATTGAATCCATCATGTCCGGAAGTATTTACAGTTGCCACAGTAGCAATGGTTCAAGGGGCGTTCCACTATCCCAACCAAAGATTCTGGAAATAACCAATTTGGAAAAGAAAGTACAATGTTGGTTCAACAAGTTTTGCCCCGACTTCCATTTTCGTTGTTTTCCAGTTCATGATTTTCTGCATGTCGCTTCCGAAGCCAGAAATAAGATTCAAGAAACCCAGGCTCATGAAGAGGAAAAACGGCGAATTTTCGCCGTGAAACAATGGAAAAAGAAAATCCAGATATCCAGCCAGACTGACAAGAAATTCGTCTTCTCATGGCTTAAAGGGAAGCATGCTGGCCCCCCAAAGTGTTTTTTGAAAGAGGATAACGAATTCACGGCTTCCCCAAATGAAATGCTGGATATGCTTAGCGACCACATGGAAGATATATACAACGAACACGCGGGGGTCGATCCCCAGAATATGTTGAATAGTGCTTTACGCACATATTCTGGTGCCATTGATCAACTTCATCACCCTGCAAATATCCCAGATATTGATCATCATGATGTTTTTAAGCTGTTTCAGAGAAAAAGTGAATGTAAGGCCGGCAGATTCGATGGGTGGAAAACTAAGGAACTCCAGGCATTACCCCCATGTGGTTGGGTTGGGTTTACTTTTGTCATGCGACTTGCTGAAGCCTATGGAGTTTGGCCTAAGGTTTTAAGGATGGTTGCTGTCACCGCTATTTCCAAAGGAGCACCCATTTCCTCCCCCCAAAATGTGCGAGCAATCGGGGTATCTTCTGCCATTTATGGAATTTGGAGTTCGTTGAGGTTCCGACAACTTGCCCCATGGATGGCACAAGTTTTCCCCAACAACTTATTAGGAGGAATTCCGAATAGGCAGGCCTTCGAATCTGAATTGTCATTATCATTGGACTTCCACGAAAATAATTTCCGGGATGACCCCATTGCAGTCTTTATTGATCGAACCAAATGCTTTGACCTTATTTTACCAGAATTAGCCATGGGTTTGGCCTCTTCTCTGGGTATCCCTGACCAAATCTTTCGGGCCACCCTCGCATTTTATCACCACCAGGTAAAAATCTTCAAACTTGGGAATGCCTATGGTAGAAAAGTAATGGGAACAAATGCTGCTGTGCAAGGCTGTTCTATGAGCATCATTATGGTCAATTCAATGTATGCAATCCTTTCAGCGCATCTTCAGCGATTGTACCCCAAAGTTTCATCAGCATGCTTTATTGATGATGTGAAAATTTGGGCTAAGGGTTTGTTTTCCTCCGATCTTGAAAAGGCATTCAATGAACTTGTTGCTTATGACACCGCAGTAGGACAAAAAGTAAACTTCGATAAAACATTCTTGCTAGCCAGAAAAACAAAGAAAGCAGAAGAATTCTTGCGGCGTGTCCGGGTCAAAGTATCAAGGAAGACAGTTGCGAAATCACTTGGGTTTACCCACCGTGTTGACCGATTAAAATCCGCAGCATTCCAAAATTCTCGGGTAGAATCAGCTTTTCGTTCCCTGAAGAAACTGTCTTGTTTACCATGTAATGAACATGACATGACGGGGTTCATCCATTCTGTTGCCCATTCTAAGTGGTTGCACGGTGTTGAATGCCAATTACCAAACAATACGAAGCTTGACAAATTGAGAAAGGCAGTGGTTAAGGCGTTGTCAAAAGGCTTAAAAACCAATAGGTCCCCTTATCTTATTTTGGCCACTGGTCATGACCCTTTTGTTGATCCTGAAGCTGCCGCTTTCAAACGAATTTTATCTAGACTAAGGGACCTGGCCTTTAAGGATCCCGCAGCTGCTGCTCGGCTCGTGAGCAGCGCCAAAGAGAAACGTCAGACCTGCTCAGCAAATTCCAATGGAGCGGCCAATGTTCTGGCTGTCGTCTTCAGCCGGCTCAAGTGGTCGTTCCGTGAAGACGAAAGCATGACGTTTTCCCGGCCAGGTGACACCCCGATTGATTTACTCTACGGATCAAAAAAGAATTTTCACGAGGAACTTGCAAGATCAGTTCGTGTAATGTTGTTGGCCCGTGTCCCAGCTAGGCACGACTGGCAAGGCGAACTTGATCTCCACATCGATATAGCCAAAACACGCATTCTCGAAGACGCTTCTTTGGCGTCTTTTTCTGACAGACAACTTGCGCAGGATGCAATTCAATTCTTGCCAAAGAATCATGCCTACATGAAGTCCCTACTGCGGGCCCTGAGGACTGGCAGTGTTCTTACTAGAGCACGATGCAAAGCCGCAGGGATTACTACGGATGATAAGTGTGAAGGATGCGACCAAAGAGAAGACCACCTTCATTTATTCAAATCGTGTGGTCTCTACGAAAGGAATCGACCTTCAAGTTTCTTCCATGACACAACGTGGTGTACAGGCATTTTCCCAGAAGGTGAACTAATCACCCAGTGGCGGCAGGAAGTTGTCTCTAGGCCCGTTCTTCCCATGGAGGATTTTCAAGCTTTTGAGCCTGAAAGTCCAATTTTTGTTGATGGCTCTTGTTTTCATCACTCTTGGGCACCTATGAGATCTGCTGCAGCAGCCGTTGTTTCGAAGTGTGGATGTTCAAAAGCTTATCTCCTACCAGGCCTTGATCAAACAAGCCAACGGGCTGAGATATTTGCAGTCATCGCAGCTTTGTGGCACTGCGCCGGAAATATCACAATTTATTCCGATTGTGCAAATGTGGTCAACATTGTCAATTTCTTACGACGCTGTGGCTTCTCAAATAAATGTATCACCAATCTTGACAATCGGGGTCTGTGGGTTTTGTTCAATTTTGTGGCCAACAAGCGAAGCCAGCCTTTCGCGATGTATAAAGTAAAAGCCCACTGTGGTAAACACGACCTTTGTCAAGATCCTTTTCTCACCGAAGGTAATTCTTGTGCTGACAAGTTAGCAAAAGATACTGCCCGGGCTTTCCTCGAAGCCCGCCAACAAACGGCCTGCGAAGAACTTGCATTGGCCATGTCATTGCAGGCCCATTTGGTCCATACGTTGGCCACACGTAGTTCGCTCTTCAAAATGTTACCAGCGGAGATACCAGCGGGGCAAGATTTTTTTCCCCATTACAAGGCGTTGACTTCATCATTTGTATGCTCCTGCGCCCCCAAAACTCGGATTTTTTCTAAGGGCTCTGTTTGTTCTGGGACGTGTCGCCCACTGGTAATCCGTGCCGGTGATGCCGAAAACATGTTCATCTCTTGTGTTAAACGAGGCGAACCAATTAGTCCTTTTATCAGAACTAGAGTATCTTCTCACCATAACAGGTATATCGCCATCGCTTATCCCCAAGAAATGTGGCAGCCATTGGTCACAAGTCCAGATCCTGCATTTTTGGCTGCCGGACCCATGCGGCTTAGCCCCAGCGCAGCTGGCGCTATTTGTGAATTTTTCTCCCAATCGGCATGTGTCGTTGGATCGCATAGATCCATCCATAGAACGTCGTGGGTTGAAATCATGGCAGATTTTGTTTTCCAGTTTGGATACTTTCCGGGTTTCATAAATCAATCCATGACTTTGAAAGTGCTTGTCCAAAGGTTCAAGCGAGCTGCCATGCGACTGTTCCAATCCCACCAGCTGTCCATTAATGCCCTGAGATCTACACATTTGTTGAGTTTTGGATTTTGCCACGTAGCTTCCCTGCACATTTCTCGTTCATTCCATTTTCCGGACCATATCTTCGCTTTCTTGATGGGGTGTGCCTCCAGATTTGCTGCAAAAAATAATCCGCTCAATTTTGTGCCACCTTTACATGAGTTCTTTTGATTGAGTGATGCTTGCATTCAAATAAAATGGCATTCGCCTACGCCGTCTTCGCCCAGTTTCTTAGCTTGGAGGTGGCTGCGTTGTTGGAGAAAAAAAGATGGTTTACCTATTAAACATGATGATTTTCCATGGCGAACTGTGAATGTCATAACCAGATGGTACATTGAACTGGCTGCTTAAATTTTCGTACCAGATTGTTAATAAAATGGTTAAATTTTTCGTACCATGTTAATTAACCATGCTTAAATAACCAGATGGTACCAGAATTTTCTGCTGGTGGAGTCGAATCATTTTCGATGCTTAGATTCCCCCTGCTGAAATTTCGTCGAATTCGTCGAATGTCGAATCCCAGATTTTGATCCAAATTTCCCCTATTTTTGGTGGGTTAAACCATGTTACATCATGTTACCCTCTGGTAAACATACATAGATAGCTATTGAAGCCATGGCCCAGTCGAAATAGTTGATTTACCCATCAAACATGGTGGTTTTCTATAGTTATGTCATGTTATGTCAACGTTTACCAGGCCGGGTAAAGCGCTTCATTTTTGTAGCTTCAAGCAGCAAAAATTCGTTGGTGAAAACGGTTCCCCCCCATGGGTGAAACTTTCGGCGTCGAGGTGACCTTTGAGGTCATGGAGTGGCAGGAGCTGATGCGAGTGGAGGTGGAAAGCCACGATGCCATCGTGGTGAAGGACCTGTCGGACCTGTCGATGCCTTTTGGTGATGATGAATTTCCTATGGACTACGGACTAGAATCCTATGGAATATCTGGTGGGTGGTTTGAAACATGTTTTATTTTCCATTTCATATATGGGATAATCCTGTAAGCCAAGCTCGGGATGGTTCATCATGGCATCTTGGGGACATTGGTGATCTCAGGGTGACTGGAACCATGGAATTTTGAATGACTTTCCATTCAGTTGGGAATGGAATAACCATCCTAACTGACGAAGTCATATTTTTCAGAGGAGTAGGTATACCACCAACCAGTAATATAATACTATATTATTATTATTATTATATATATATATTATTATATTATATATAGAGCTAAAGACAATAAGCAGTGGAATTAATTCGTTTTGGCTTTTTATTGCCAATTGTGGACAGTCCCTGAGGAAGGTTTTTCACCGAATAACCTCAGCAGAATCCCTGATTTTGCGGATATGGGTGTCCTGGGTGTACAGATAGGTTCCAGCCAATCCTTCCCTGCTACCCTCTGCTAAACTAACGTAGCTATTGAAAATGACCATTTATAGTGAGTTTTCCCATTAAAAATGGTGATTTTCCATAGTTATGTTAGTTTACCAGAGGGTAAATCTTGGTTTGATAATTGCTGTATTGGTTCATCTGGGATCCCAGATAGGGTCTTTGGAACGGAGTGAGAACGAGAAGTTTTGCCATAACCTCTTTCTTATTGGGTGGATTGGCACCCAGATGTCCGAAATTGCCACTGGAGTGTTGATGAAGAAAGAGGCGCAACAATATTAGGAGGTTTCCTGAAATAGGGGCTTAATCATCCATTTTAATGTTTTTTTTTGTATTTTCCATTATAAACAATCCATTTGGGGGTACCCCCATTTATGGAAACCTTAATATCTGAATGATACACTATGATATTAAAATTACGGTTTCCATAAATGATTAAATCTCATAGGTTTATCATTAATATCATTTATAGTGTATCATTTATGGTAAATGTCATAATTAATGATACATATGAGAGATATATCTAAAGTTTTCATGGAGGCTACAAAATCTATAAACCAACGTTCACATCACTGGACAGAACCACCAGCAGCACCGCAGCTCCAATTTGTTGGAGTTTCCTTTTCGGCATTTCGGCATTCGAATTCGGGATTGGATTTTCTCATTTTTTTTTTGCATGATTACATATAATTTTCGTTGTTAATTATCAAATTATTACTTGTGTATATACTTATGCATGATTTATATACCCTCCGGTAATTTAACATAGCTATTGAAAATTGCCATTTATAGTTGATTTATCCATTAATAATGATGATTTTTTTCTATAGTTTTTTGTATGTTTACCAGAGGGTATCCCTTATTCCCATGATATTCCCATGATTAATCACCATTGATCACCATTAATCCCATCCTTATTAACCACTATTAATATCTATTAACCACTATTAACCATTATCAGATTTAAGGTTCAACTACCACACGGGGCCTCCATGGCCGATTTTTTAAACCCGCAACGCGGCAGGACGTGTTGGATTCCTTACACGTAGCCATTTGTGCCACTGGTCTAATTTGGGGGGCGGCAAGGCTTCCAATGGAACTTAGTTCAGCGATCCGGAAAAAACGACCGAAAAGGGGGTGGTTTTGAGGATGTGAACCGGATGATGTTTCCTCCGTAATTTCATAGAATTTCTATAGCTTTCCCGTAACTTTTCGATCTGTTTTGGGGTTGCTGTTTATCATGTTGATGACATTTGTGATCAATCGATCCTGGATCAACCAAATCGGCACCAAGCCGCTGATTTTCCAAGTGGTGAGGCCTGGCTACCGGAAGTTTCCTATTCGACTGGATTGTTTCTTGGCGATTCTGGCTGGAGGTTTCCTGTACCCCCAAATCCAAGCCATGGATGACCATGACTGGCTGGAAACCTATTGGGGATCCTCCAATTTAAGAACCCAACTGAGTTAGCCAGGAAAGCTGGTCTTCTTGTTGCGATCAGCCATCCACATCCACTATGTTCCCTAAAGCCGGCCTAGGCGGCCGATATGGCATTGCTTCAAGTTGCTGTGTTTTTAGTTTTAGTAAAGTGTTGTTCTAAAGAAACTTTAGACCATAAGTTTAAACAAAAACATGTTTTTTTACCGGCATTCAGTTTGGAGGCCTATTTTTTTTTGGAATTTTTTTCTTTTACGTTTTTGGATTTTTTTTTGGGTTTCTTGTTTTATCTTGCTTTCTCCTTTTTTTTTTTGCGTTTTTGCTTTTGTGCTTTTTTGTTTGTTTTTTTTTGTTTTTTTTTGCTTGTTTGCTTTTTTTGCTTTTTTGCATGTTTGCTTTTTTGCTTGTTTGCTTTTGTGCTTTTTTGCTTTTTGCTTTTTTTGATTTTTTGCGTTTTTGCTTTTTTGCTTTTTTGCTTTTTTGCTTGTTTGCTTTTTGTTTTTTTGCTTTTTGTTATTTTTGCATTTTTTGCTTTTTTGCTTTTTGCTTGTTTGCTTTTGGCTTTTGGCTTGCTTTCCATGGCTTTTGGTGGTATTTTTAGTATGTCAAAATTGCACATTTTTCAATACACTAGTTTGAATCGACTATATTCATATATATATATATTTATGTTTAAATTAAAATCATAATATATATATATATATGTGTATATATTATATGTATATATATATATATGTATATATATATATGCATTTATATACACACTTGTATATTTATATCTAGATATATTTATATTATTTATATTTTCTACTTATATATATATATTTTATATATATTTACATATTATTACTATTTATGTTCAAATTCAAATATATATATATATTTACATATATATATATTTACATATATATATATATTTACATATATATACATATATATATATATTTACCTATATATATATTTACATATATATTTATATATATATATTTATATATATATACATATATATATGTAAATATATTTATATATTTATATTTATGCATGTATATATACACTTAAATATATATTATATTGATATATTTATATTTACATATTCATATTGATATTTTATATATTTATATTTATTTTTATATATTTATTTTTATATATTTATATTTACATATAAATATATATTTATGTACCTATATATATATACATTCATATGTATATACATATAAATCATATAAATGTATATATATATATATATAAAGAAGTATGTATCTATAAGTACATGTACTGTATTCCACATGTTTCCAGGGTGCATGTCGTGTAGTCTATACACCTTGAGTATCACATTCAACCCAGCACCTTGCATGTAAAATAGGTGTTTCCAATCTGCTTTGGCGGGGAGGCGCTGCGCCCTCCCCCCAATCCCCCCCCTCCCGCTTTTTTTAATTATTTAAATTCAAACTTGCACACTTTTCAATACACTTGTTTGATTCGACTATATTAATATTTTGTTAAAAATTATATATATATATATCTAGACATATATATATAGACACACGTATACATATATATATATGTATATGTATATATTTGCATTTATATATACACTTATATTTATATATATATATTAATGTACTTATATAAATGTATATATATACATACATATTAATATGTATATACATATCAATGTATATATATTTATATAATTATATAACTATAAGTATATATATATATTATAAATACACATACATATTTACTTATAGATATACAGACGTATACATATATATATGACATATTTGTGGTTGTTTTTATACACAACTTTGATCCCAACATAAACAACAAATAATCATGTAATTATACCTAATTACATGTTGTATCCCTAAACCCTAAACCACACCCTGCATATGCATACATACATGCATGCATGCATACATACCTACCTACCTACCTACCTACGTACATACATACATACACACATACATATATATATAGATTGATTGATTGATTGAAGAAAACCAAAGAAACCTTGCAGAAAACGATGGAAAATTGAAGAAAACCATGGAACAATTGAAGAACACTATGGAATATTGAAGAAAACCATGGAAAACTTGCAGAAAACCATTGGAAAACTATGGAAAAATTGAAGAAAACCCGGGAAAAAAGAACACCATGGAAAACTTGCAGAAAACAATGGAAAATTGAAGAAAACCATGGAACAATTGAAGAAAACTATGGAAACATTGAAGAAAACCATGGAAAAATTGAAGAAAACAATGGAAAAATTGAAGAGGCACGAACCCCAAAAAAAATTCCAAAACTGTAAAAAAAAAAAATACCAAAAACAATTCTGCACCCATTCAGTTTTTCATATTCTTGGTTGTCCAGTTAGGAGCCCTGTATTTTGCCACCCCCATCTTGGTTGAAGTGCCATACTTGGCTAATGGCCCCAGTCTTGTGTTGTTGAATGAGTAAAAAACACCACCATATTCTGAATTTGCTCACATTTTGAAGTTCCAATCTCACCCAACTCTGCTGGAAAAATACAGGAAGTCTCATGTTTGGCTAGGAAAGATCCAGGTTTTGCTATAGATTTTGAGGCTTTCAGGTTGGTTATATCCAGTTATATCCAGTTATATCCATATATTTCTTGGAAACCAACAGGGCTAAACAAAAAAATTGGTCAATTGAAACCTCCATTTTCCTTGAAATGGCTATGGCTCAAAATTATTGCACCCCCAATTTCTGGATACAAAAGGTGCTCGCAATGCTCGTGGGTCCCCACTGAATCCCATCGGTTTCATCGTTGGCGACGTCTCAATTTGATGTTTTTCTTGATGTTTTAGATCATGATTATTATGATATATTAGCAGTTATTATGGGATTAATACCCTCTGGTAATTTAACATAGCTATTGAACATGGCCATTTATAGTTGATTTACCCATTATTTATGATATACCACTTATTGACTGGGATTAATTGGGATTAATAAACCATTTTAAACCATATGGTTTCCAAGATGATGGGAAAATTCCATGTTTTTTCTTCCGTTCAATAATGTTTAAAAAACATGTTTTTCACGGCAAAAGTTAAATCCCATGGGGATTTCCCAAGAAGAGGCCCTGCCCGTGTGGCGTGGTTCAATCTGGCCATCTGCTGGAGCTCAGTAAGCTGTTGAAAGAGGACCAGCCACCTGTGGGTGGGGTGTAGATGGGAAAACGCATGGGAAAACCTGTGGGTAAACCGTTTCTGTATGGGGATAGTACTGTATGGGAAAGTACTGTATGTTTTTTTGGCCGTTTTGGGTTAATTCACTGTTGAGGTGTATTCTGCGAGGAATCGGAAACATTCGGAAACTAATTGTCATAGTTTGATATTGTTTGTCAACATGATATTCCCATTATTGTAATAATACCCATTGTTGTTTTATATCCCATGAATCACCATTAAACACCATTCTTGACCCATTGAATATCCCCAACAAAATCAGCAGCAAAAACTTGTTTTTTTTCCGATCTGCTCCGCTTTTTTCGGTGTCGTTCAGGACAGCGTTTTCTGTGACCAGAAAGAACGTTCGGTTGAAGCGCGGCCAGAAGAAGCAAAGATGATACAGCAGTGGAGGCGCAGACCCTGAAGGTGGTGGTTTCTGATAGGCTTTGCGACGTGGAAAAATCACACCATGCTATGAAGAAACGGCATGTCATCTATTTATCATGGGACATATCATGGTTTATCATCTATTTCTATGGGTCATTTTTGGTATGTTAAGTAACCAGAGTGTAAATTCATATGGAAGATTATGAAAAAACAGTGGATGGAATGGAAGATGACAAAATTGGCTAGCCCATAAATACAGACCAATTTTTGGAATGTCATATTTTTTTCATTTTTTTCGATGAGGATCACCTCCTGGTACTTTGGTGAACACCAAAATGCTTTGTAAAATTCATGTTCATCTCATCCAACTCCGATAAAACAGTGAAATCCTACGGTCTTACAGCGGTAAGCTACTTTTCTATGTTGTTTCAGGAACCGTTCATACACATATTTTTTAATCATATATTTTGATTTGCTGACAGTTTTTGGAGGGCCATTCATTTTTAACCCTCCCAAAAAGATACGCTCCAGCAATCAAACATGGCAATGGAATGTCTCCATTGCTAGATGATTTTCCCAGCGAACTAAACCTTCATGATAGAGGATTTCCCTCCATTTTTCCATATTTTGCCATGATTTTCCTCTGATTTTTTCTTGATGTTCCCACGATTTTCCCAGGATTCTACAATTTCCCATGATTTTCCCATGATTTTCCATATTTTCCAATGATTTTCCTAGGATTTTGCCATATTTTTCGGGATTTCCCAGCTCGAAATGTGGATTCCAAGCCCAGGCAACTGGAACGTGGGGATTGCGCTGAAATTCCACCAGGCAGCTGCTGTCTTGGATTTGAGATAAGGACATCAATGTTACATCTAATTACATCTATGTTCTTTCTTTGTATATAGATTATTACATTATATTGTATTGTATTATACTATATGATATGGTATTATATTAACATTATATATAATAATAATAATATTATATATAGTATATTTTCATGTCATACATTTTATTATATATGTAATGGTTTATTATATATATATATATACGTATGTTATATATATAAATAGGACAGAATCCGAGAAGCAAAGGTGCTCCTTGCCAAAATGGCAACCGTTTGATTTACATTCTTTCTTCTATTTTTTTCAGGGAGCTTCTTGAAGCAGCAAACGTCAATCCAGCTGTTGATGCAACAGCTTTGAGCCCGATGTGTCCCATTTTGCTTGCATCAGTTGTGCCCACCAGAATATAGATGAACTATTATGAGCTGACATACCGTTAGACGGTTGGTTTTTGTCGCTATGGCTTTGGTGTATAGGCAAAACTTGATTTGCCAGACAGCTGCCGGGTTTCCCGTCAACCTTTCCCTTCAGCGAATTCTGGGCATGGGATATCAGCCCAAGAGTTAACCGGGCTACTAACGGTTTCTGTGTAGATATCATATCTGATTGGTGGTTTGGAACATGAATTTTATTTTTCCATATATTGGGAATAATAATCCCAACTGACGAACTCATATTTTTCATTCACAGGGTAGGTATACCACCAACCAGTTTTTGTTTGATAGGGTCTCCATCTATTCATACCATCCAAACATGGTGAATATAGCCCTATCAATGCCCTATCCAATCCCAATAACCATACTGGTTGGTTGAAAGGCATCCCTATATTGGATCAATAAAAATAATCCCCAACAAAACAGGTGCGTAGATTGACAACCCCACTATTTCATAAAAAAAGCAACCGTCATTTATCAATAACCTCCCCACAGGTTGAACCCCATAAAAGTCTTGAAATTGATGGTAAAATCCCCATTAACATCCCACCCAACAGTTGGGTGTTAAACATTGTGTATCAATTTATATCCACTATATTAAACCCAACTGGATATATTGGGATGTTAACTGGATATAAAATATTATGTATATAAATATATTTGGATATATTAACCCATCACCAGGGGTACTAGGGATATTTTTCTTTGGCTCGGGCGCGGCAGGTCCTAAAGAATCGCGGCTGCCGTGGTCGGGAAGTGCTGCGTGGCATTTCATGTGCCCTGGCGAGGCAGTTTTCACCGTGAAATGCTGGCTGAAAATGAACGAAACCCTGGGGGGAAATTCAGAATTCATTGGGAAATGTTGAAAGGGTTTAATACGCTTAGTTAATGGGATATAAATAATATAAATAATATATATATATATATATTTATATTTATATTTATATGTATACATAATATTGTTTGAAATATTAGCCTGCACTTTTTATTTATCTTAGCAGGCCAGTATTAATGGGATAAGAATGGGATTTCGCCTCCCGTGATCAAACCCTGGCTGTTCTCCCGAACCCTGGAATCATGTTTTTGTTTTAAAGGGAAATCATCCCCAAATGGCTGAACTATTCAGGTTAGTGAAATATTATTAGTGAAATATGATCATTTACCCATATATATATATAACTATATATATATATATATAACTATATATATATACATACATATATACATATGTACATATATATATATATAACTGGGAGAGCCATGGAACTATAAAATGGGGGACTTCTAAATTGCCACATCTTTACCGGCTTTTCTGGAGATGTTGGACGAAGATTCTCCCGTGGGAATGGTGCCCCCCAGTGATGTTACCCTCTGGTAATTTGTTACGTAGCGAACTGGAAAATCCCACCATTTTCAATGGGAAAATATCCATTATTTCAATGGTGATTTTCAATAGCAAACTGTTAAATTACCAGAGGGTAGTTGGTTTATAAACCCCCATTAACTAGTTCGTTATATCTGCCATAAACCATAGTGAAATTGGAGTTATTTGCACCAACTTAGCTAACGAACTGGGGCACCACCTTGTAGCAAAATTGCTATTTTAGTCGGGATCATGACTAGTTGGTGGTGTCAGTTTTTTAAATGTTCAACGCTGTGGCTGGGATGATCAGGATGATGTTTTTTTGCGATTCACCGTGGAGTTTTACCAGAAGAAATTGGAGTGTTTGCGAAACGATGAGATTCTGAAGCAAAAGTGGTTCCAGCAGCAATGATTATTTCAAAAAGGAAAACTGGAGAACTTGATGGTTTCCAAGGAACAAAAATGGAACACACTCTCGCAAAAGGAAAATTGACCCAGAAAGATTGGAATAGTTGGAGCAATGGCAGGAACAATTAATCAATATCAAGCAGATCTCCTACGGCCGGGTTTTGCCGGCATCAGTTTGTTGACAAAAGTGCACATCGGTAAAATTATATATGATCAATGCGTTGGGTCCCAAGGTTGCCTAAGAACAGTCAGTCTGGTTGGGAAAACAGTGATGGTAAGGTTTAAACACTTGATGTTGGTCTGCTTCATCATGACAAACCAATCTTTAACTAGCACAATGATCAAAGATGATCAAAGTACAGTACCGACTAGTTGTAGAATGGTGTAGTTTTTTTTTCTCATGATTCAAAGGCCTGCTGTTGTTCTTTCTGAAATCACCATTATGGTTGTTTTTTTCTGTGAAATCACCATAGTTTGTTGATGAACATCATCTCAGATCCATGGCCTTTTCCAGGATTCCTGGCTGGCTAAGGTACGCATCGCCCTTGGAATACCGACGGCAACGCATTCCACAGCTGAATGTGGTGCAGGTGCAGCTGGTGCGGCTGATTGTTTCGGGAGGATGAACTCTGTTTTTTTTTTTTTTCTGGGGATATATCATGCAATAGCACTTCTTGAAAATAACCTTACTTCTGGGGTATATATATATATATACATAGGGGATATATATATATATATATAACGGGATATATCATGGAATACTAGCTCCTACAAAACTTCGAGGATCATCCCACTTAGGCGATTCCAGCTGTGGGAGAAATGTAGGAATGGAGCCTCCTATGGCCAAAAATAACCGGATAAAGGGATACCCTCTGGTGAACATACAAAAAGCTATGGAAAATGGCTATTGAAATAGTGGATTTTCCCATTAAGAATGGTGATTTTCCATTGCTATGTTAGTTCACCAGAGGGTATAACCAATGATGTGTGGGATATATAGTAGGTATATATATGGGTAATTATGTAACGGGACATACTTTCCTCAAAAATCAAGGGGATACAATGATATAATGGGTATGTAATCACTGATGCCATGGTACCGCAATGATGAACCACTGGTTGTGGTGAGGGATATGATGGGTATAATGATGTATCATGGGAGAAGATGGTAAGCCCAAAACCATAAGCCCCACTTGGGCATGGTTCTTACCCTCTGGTAAACGTTTACATAGCGAACTGGAAAATCCACCTATGTTTATATAATGGGTATATCCATGTATATCCACTATTTCGACTGGGCCATTTTCAATAGCTATCTATGTTAACGTTTACCAGGCCAGGTACAGAGAGTAGCAAGCATTTTATGGTGCTGTTCGGGATGGTTATTTTAGGTGACATCTTGGGAATTTCAGAATCCCAACTGACGAACTCACTCCATCATTTTTCAGAGGGGTAGGTATACCACCAACCAGTTATTATATTATGATATATTATATTATGATATATTATACATCATTAATCCTAGTTAATCTTGGTAAATCTGTCTTAATCTTGGTTATCTACTTATTATATTGTGATTATTATGGGTTTTACCTCATTAAGAAGGACGTTTTTTGGACGAAACAATGAATCAGCAACAAAAAACACAACGGTTTCATCATTCGAAACTATGGCAACTTTGAGCATGTTATACCCTCTGGTAGACTAACATAACTATGGAAAATAACAAGTTTTAATGGGCAAATCCACTGTGTTGCCATACAAAAAGGTGACTTCCCCAGAAACCGTCTGCTGAAATCACCCCAGCAGTGGAATCAGCGACCGGTCTTAGGAGTTGGACGTGTTGCCCAATGGGCCGTGGCAAGTGGCAGTGTGCACGCCCAACGCATTGATTGAGACGCTGCAGGACGGCAGTTTTTGACGGAAGGATTTGGATGTCGTGTGTTTTTTTTTTGGAGGTGTAGATGTTGGTTGACTAAAGAAGGAGGGGGTAGTCATGGTTAATCCCCTATAAATGGAGGTTTTAATTGGAAAATCATCGAAGTAAATGGATGTGAATGAGTGATAAACAGGGACCCAATGCCACAAAGCTAGCAGGACTGGGAATGGTTGGTGATGGGGGTGGTTTATGACTGGGTTTACGACATTAGTCATGGGTTAATCCCCACAAGCAATGGGCAAATCATCGAAGTAAATGGGTGATGTGAATCCACATCTAAATATATGTGTTGGTTATTACCAATCTTTGGCTATAATGAACCATAATTAACCAATGGGTAAAGGATGATTGCTTTCTGGGGTCATCAAACATGGCAATTGAAAATCCCTGAACTCAATTGAGGTTTTAGTGGGAAAATCATCACACTAAAGAGGTGGTTTTAATCCACATCTAAGTTTACTTGTTGGTAAAATAGACCCAATACAAAAATCAGGTTGATTACATCTACAGTAGTAGTAGTGGTGGTGGTGGTAGTAGTAGTAGTAGTTCAATCCACATCCACATAGTTTTTAATACATCCAAAGCTGCAAAAAAAATGTTGGTTGTGGAGTTATACTATTTCTATATATTAAATACTATACTATTACTATAATACATATATATCATATATAGATGTACTATTAATAATATTATTGATAACACTAATACTATTCATATAGATGTACAATACTATGAATTATAATAATACTATTACTATAATACTATTAATAAATTACTGTAATATTAATATATAATACATATACTATTACTCTGCTATTACTGTTACTATAATACTACATTATTAAATATATTAAATACTATACTATTACTATAATACATATATATATATGTATGTAAGTATGTATATGTACTAATAAATATTACTATTTAATACTACATTATTAAATATATTAAATACTATACTATTACTATAATACACATATATATATATATATATATGTATGTAAGTATGTATATGTACTAATAAATATTACTATTCACTCCTTTGGGACAGCTGAAGTTTTCATCAGGAGCGTCCAGTGGTGCTCCATGTCACGGCGCACAGTAGCGCTCTGCCGCCCAAGATGGGCCAGGGCGGAGACTCCAGGCGTCGCCGTGAGAGAACTTCGGAGGGGAATGATTTTCACTAAGAGTTCAGTGGAGTTTAAACCACTTAGCTATAAGTTAAAAAATGGGTTAATCTTGGTAATTCTTTCTTAATCTTGGTGAGTTTCGGTGAATTTTGGTGAATCTTGTTGTCAATCTTTTTTCGGGTAAACTACAGTAACTTATTCATGTGGAGAAGCCCAAAATTGGTGAAAACCATAGGAAAATTGGCGGTGAAATTCAGCATTTCGGCTGGTGAATCCCATATTTGATCCCATGAAAAAGTCGTATGTTTTTTTTTTTATCCCAGAAAATCCATTGAAAATCCCATTTAAATATTGGTTGGTGGTGACTGGAACCATGGAATTTTGAATGACTTTCCAGAAACAGTTGGGAATAATGGGAATGGAAAAATCATCCCAACTGACGAACTCCATCATTTTTCAGAGGGGTAGGTATACCACCAACTAGAATACCATCAAACCTATATTGAAACCCATTGAAGTCTCCATTTTGAGGCGCGCCTTGCTGTTGGAAGACGCCTTTGGAAGTGGAAGTCTGCTGGATGTGAAACAGTTGCTGGAACTGGGCCCTTGGCAGGACCCGGCCGCTATCGGCAGGATTGGTTGCGGTAGGATAAAACTGATTATAACTGATATAACTATGCAACGCTCAAAAATGAGGATATAATAGTGAGAGAGAGATATATATTGTATATATATATATATACATACTCTATAACTAACAAAATTGTATTGGGTGTGTCTTAAAATGGGTTGTACACCCGTAATCTGCAATGTTAAAAGGAAACATGATGATTAAGCATCAAACGGAGGGGTACCCTATTTTCAGACAAACCCATACAACTGTACAACCATCGAAAAATGGGATGCAACCAACACTAATATACTCTAGTGGGATAGTAGAATCGGGATAATCTGGGTAAATTATCTGATATACTTCTCGGTTGTTTTTCTGACCGTCTAAACCAGCACTACCTGGTTGGGGATTCTGGTTACATAGTACTACCCCTACCTGGTTCATTATTCGATTATGAAGTGGACATGGGGATAAAAGCCCCATTTCTTCAGCTGTGACTGGAATACTGGGCAAATGGATGATTTTTCTCGGAAAAAGGACCTGTTTTGGACGAAGAAATCCATTGGTCTCCTGGTCTCCATCGAATGAGGAGCATCTTTGGGATACCAATTACTGTAAATGCTCCAGCAGAAGCACCGTAGAAAGGCTGTAAATCTACAACCATCATTTGCACCAAGAATTTGTTTCAAGTGTTCTTCATGCTTTTGTATTGAAAGTCAGATCTACCCTGCGTCAGGTTGCTGTTTGGTTCATGCTCTTGAACAATGGTCACCATGGATGTCCTTTTTCGGTTGGTTGATTAATAGAGGGGTCCTGAAAAAAACAATCAGTAGGTACAAGTAAATGACAAGTGAATATATATATATATATAATATGAATAAGTGGTATATCACTGGTATGGTATACCAAACCAACCCCTCTATTTTTTTCAAAAGGACAACATATTGATGGCCAGCCCTTGAGTTTTCCACCATCGCAACATGCGATGTTCTCAGCGTCACAGGACGTGGGACTTCTGGTCTTGCTAACATGTTACTCGAAACAGTTTCTGGGCCTCAGAAAACGGCCTTGGATTTTTAAAATTCTTCCAGAGTCGCATTGAGGCGTTTTTTTTCGCACCCTTGTTGATTGGTTTGCTGTAAGGAGTTATACTACCTGATCTACCTATAGTTGGGGATTGTTTTCACTAACCCATATGAATGATAAGAGTGGGAGACCGTTTTTTTGAACATCCTTGCATATCTCAAGCTTTTTGACAATGAAAGTTGTATTCGTGGTTTTAGTTGGTGCTGTAGTTGTCGTAGCTGTAGTTGTATAGCGCGGTGTCATGGTTGTTTGGTATGGTGAAGTGGAGAGCGCTGTAATGTAGTGGAGTTGTGGTATTAATTCACCTCCATTCGGAATTTTACCCTCTGGTAAACGTTTACATAGCTATTGAAAATGGCCCAGTCGAAATAGTTGATTTACCCAACTATAAAATAGTGATTTTCCATATTTTTGTGAACGTTTACCAGAGGATAACCCCGTTTGAATCTGAGGTTGGTGGAAGCTTTGAACTGCCGCTTCGCCGTTTGCTGCATTCACCAGGCAGAGAGCTTTCAGGAGATACCAGGAATCCAATATAATAATAATTAATAATATATAGTATTATTTTAAAAAACAAATAATAACAATAATAATAACACATATGAAAATATGTATATAATATTCAGTATATAGTATTATGAGAAGTATATAATACATAGTATATAGTATTATAATATGTACATATATACGTATATATATATATATACACATATATTCCGACAGATCCATGTATCCTCGACGGTTATATCAGGTTAGGAACGTCATGGGACCTAGTGGCTCGTTTGGAAGGGGTTCTCACCCAGACCGGCTATCATGCGTTGTTGCTGTTTTCGATGGTTGCATCATAATAGCTCTGTAGCAAACACGAAACGATGTGGAAGACCCTTGGTTGTTGGAAGGAAAGCGATCTAGACGTGGGTTTTCCACATCTATCTTACAGTTATGGCCCAACTAACACTTATTTTTACTCTATTTTTATCGGATTATAACTACTATGACTAGTTGGTGAAATATATCATGAACATATTCCCACTTATAAGTTCATTGCAATGATATATTTCACCTTAATCAGTGATACAATGACTGATAATCATTATAATCCAACTATAAGCGATTTACACAGTTATGGCCCAACTAACAGTTATTTTTATGGGATTATTTCATGATATATATAACCTTAGTTATAGTAGGTATAATATGTTATAATCCCACAAGAATAAGTGTTAGTTGGGCCATAACTGGGCCATGAACACTGGAGAAACTTTCCATGGTAAACCATCCCATTGCTGATGTTCATGGCTCCTGTTCTTCGGTGAACGAACGGCGCTTTTCGAAACACGTTCCATTTGGTCAACGAACATAGCTATGGAATGGAAAATCCTCATTTTTAGCTTACTATCAATGATGATTATGATCACCCCCAGTACCCTCTGGTACACGTTTACATAGCGAACTGGAAAATCATCATTAGTCTAATAATTAAATAAACTATCAATGGTCATTTTTTATAGCTTTCTTGAATCACCAGAGGGTAAACTCAGTGACATTTTTTGGATTGGCGGCATTTTTGTCTTCAGTTTGTCCAAGGTTGCCCACAGTAATATGGGTGTGTCTGAAAATAGTGTACCCCATTTACCCAATGGTTTTGCTGATCATTATCCCGTTTTTAAATGGCTATTTGTTTGGGAATATACCCTATTTTCAGACAAACCCATATGGCTTTCTTTGAAAATAGGCTGCCGAAATTTCATGCTGAAAATCTCATGACCTTCCCTATCGAAATCGCCAAATTTTTTGGGGTAATGACTCCCATCAGACACAGCCAAATACCATTCTGCTTGGTGGTGACTGGAACATTGGTTTAGTATGGGATAATGATGGTTAATGATGATTAATGATGGTTAATGATGGTTAATGATGGTTAATGATGGTTAATAACCACTGGTTGGTGGTGACTGGAACATGACTGGATTATGATTTTTCATCATATTGGGAATTTCATCATCCGAACTGACGTTCACTCCGTCATTTTTCAGAGGGGTAGGGCTCAACCACCAACCAGATTATTAATGTTAACCATATATTAACAGTATATATTAACCATATATTAACAGTATATTACCAACCAATGGTAGGATTAGAGGGGTAGGGCTCAACCACCAAGCAGCATTTCTTGGTTGTTATCCCAGTGAATGATGCCGTCTCAGCCTATTTTAAGATGCTGTGGTTCACCGAAAAAACACCATAAACCAAGTTGGTTGTTTCGTTCCCGGTGCCAACTGAAAAAGTGGGAAATTCTCGCGTTATGATGTACCTTGGAGTTGATGATGTTTGATCCAGATATGCCCTATTTTGGCCTTAGGCCTTGAGATATTTTGAGATGCACCAATTGCTAAATGTACCTGTCTGACATCTCCATCATATCACCATTTTTCATGCTTCAATTCACCATTCTTGAAAATCTGGGATTATATAGTGGGATTATATAATATTAGTTTGTGGTTATAGTAAATCACATAATAATAAAACCATATCACCATATAGTAAAACCATATAGTACATAATATCACCATATGGTAAAACCTCGCCTTTTGCTGGTTTTGGGTTGCGGATGTTCCTATCGAAGCCGAGCCATCGCCGTCTCTGTCGAAAGGTCAGAGATGCCGCGGCGCGTGGGGCCTCTTGGGATGGGGTGAATCCTTTTGATTTTGTGTAGATCGTGTATATATATAATATATATCTGGGTAAATTTCATCACGACCTCACTGTTCTCCTGAGCCCTGGAATCATGGTTAGTAAGGGGAATCATCCCCATATGGCCGAACTATTCAGGTCAGTGAAATGTTATCATTTTACCCAGATATAATATATATAATTATATGGGAAAGTGATAGTCATATACTATGGTAAACATACAACAAACTGTGGAAAATCACCATTATTAATGGTAAATCAACTATTAATGGGATGGTAGTGGGTTATGATAATTGACACCCTCTGGTAATAATGGTTAATAGTGGTTAATAGATGTTAATAGTGGTTAACAATGATAATTCATGGTGATCAATGGTGATCAATGATGATATACCCTCTGGTAAACGTTTATATAACTATGGAAGCATCACATTTTTTTAAATAGGTAAATCAGCTATAAATGGGCCATGTTCAATAGCTATGTTAAATTACCAGAGGGTATATGGATATAGTAATGTATATGGGGATAATATATATATAGTTATGTAAGCCCTTATAACTCTATATATATATATACATACACAATAGGAATATATAATGAGATATAAAACTTACCAAGTTGATATGATAGATATTAAGAGATGGGTTTGTTTGTTTTGATGTTTAACCATCCAGAATTGGCATCTAGCAAGCCAATTTAAGCGATTTGACTCACCAACATTGGCTTTAACCACTGGAAATGGGGGGTCGTTTTCCGCTTGTCTGAACTGCTGTTTGTTGGCATATGTCGTATTGTTGTATGTTTATTAAAGATTTTTAGCTGTTTCTTAATTGTTCTTATCTACATGCATTGTACACGAAGAAAGTTGACTATGTTCCAATTGTGGTTGTTGATACCAAGGTGTGTCTCCTTCGGTTCTATTCCAATGTGATATTCCACCTTATTTTTGTCTACTGATTCTGTCAAAAGTGTTTGTTGTTGGCTTTTCATTTTTTGCATCGGCTTTCCTTCAAAATGCATCTATATCATGCATTGTGGTAAGAAGGACCGGAATATCACTTGTATATGTGTGTACATACTGATTTAGTTCTAACGGCGCATGTATATATATATATATGTATATATATATTTAGATATGCGAAACAATCACACAATTATTATTGTTATTTCTATTTTTTTGAAGACAAATATTGATATACATAGAACATATGATTTAGACGTTTCTTTATTCATGGATATGTATATCATGTGTGAAGAACATATAGCGTCAGATCCAGATCCATAGGAAGATATTCATATGTAAACATGTAAGTTCGTGGAACATTTACATATAGATTTAGATATAGATTCATACGGATCTAAATAAACATACTTCCTAGGAATATTCTAACATTATAGGTAGTTATGCATGCATCATTATGATATACATCCAGATTCATAGACTTAGAATATAGATCCAGATTCATAGATTTAGGCTTGGACAAAATACATATGCGTGTTTTTTTTGCAGACACAACATTTAGATGTGTGTTTTTTGAACAACATTTCAAAATATCGATGTAGATGGTAACACATAGATATCTATGTTCAGATGCATATATATATATATAATAAATATATAATAAATATAATATATATTATATATATATAATTATATATATAATATAGATAATATATACAATATATATATAATATAATATAATATAATATAATATAATATAATATAATATAATATATATAATATAATATATATAATATATATAATATATATAATATAATATAATATAATATATATATATATAATATAATATATATAATATATATAATATATATGATATATAATATATAATATATATAATATATATAATATATATATAATATATATAATATATATAATATAGATATCTGTAGATGTTTAGTGGTTTACCCGCCAGTAGACAAACATTAAAAATGTGGAAACCCTTAGATCTTTCCCCAGGAAATGATCTAAAAAAATGTGTGGTATATTTCCATCATTTCAGCCGTTACCACAAGGATGCATCTACATTAATATCTGGGTAAATTTCATCACGACCTCACTCTTCTCCCGAGCCCTGGAATCATGGTTAGTAAGGGGAATCATCCCAAAATGGCCTAACTATTCAGGTTAGTGAAATATTATAATTTACCCATATATATATTATGGTTTTCCAGATATCTAAACCATTTCTGAAACACATCTATTAGTTTGTCTTTTCCCGCTGGATGATAAATCATAGAGGGGTTCCCCATTCTTTCAGAACCGATAACCGATCGATAAGTGATCAATGGTAATTTTTTAGTATAACAAACATTGTAACCGATAAATGATTGATAATGATAACCGATCGATAACCGATAGTATACCAAACCGACCCCAAACCGACCCCTCGATTTTTCCACCAACCATTGACCACACATTTTTCATGAAATCCCCTGCTAAATCCTCATTTTTCCTCATGTCAATGGATTGGTTTAAGGGAAAATTTACAGGAAAACACCATATTTGATGGGAAAATCCATGGTTTCCTGTAGATTTTCCCTTAAACCAATCCATTTTTCCAGTGAAATCCCCAGCTCCCAGGTGAATTTTGCCGCACTTTCTACCGTTGCCTCGCCACGCACGGTGCCGCCAAAGACGCCTTCCACGCCGCACAATGCGCGGTGCGCTGCAGCAGCGACGCAGGGCTGCGCAGCGAGGCGGCGGCCGACGGGGTGCTGGATGTGCTGTGGAGCTTCTTGGAGCGGTCTGGATATTAATGGGATAGTAGTGGGTTATGGATACTAAACTATTAATAGATACCAGACCATAAATAACCATACTAATGGTGATACCAAGTATTAAAACCATTATTAACCATAATTGGTGATATTCAATATTGGTGGGTTAGGATAATGGGATACAATTACCCTCTGGTAATGATCATAAATAACCTATTTTTATAGTTTAGTATCCATTAATTGTATTAATAAATACCATATATATAATATAATATATATAATATAATATATATAATATAATATATATAATATGGAAAAGTGATAGTCACATATTATGGTAAACATACAAAAAACTATGGAAAATGATAATGGATACAATTACCCTCTGGTAAGATTAACATAGACCCTGAAAATCACCAATTGTTAATGGAAACTAGTCTTCCAACCCCCATCTGGCAGGGTCTATGTTAATTTACCAGAGGGTAATGGATACTAAACTATTAATAGGTTATTTATGATAACATTCATGGTTATTATGGAAAATCACCATTTTCAGATAGTAGGTTATGACAATAGATAATGGTAAAAACCAATGGCTAGTAATTAAATGGCTAGAACCCATGGTTAAATAGCTATTTAATAGATGGTATACCATATAAAATGACATAGTTAGAACTAATGGCTAGTCATTTATATGGTTTTATTAACATAGCTAGAACCAATGGCTATACCATCTATAAATGGCTATATCAATAGATGGTATACCCATGTCGGTGCCATGGAAAATACCCGTTTGTTCGGTGCCATTAGGTTATGATGATTGATACAACCATAATTGGATATGTGGATATATATATATTGGTAGTATAAAATATCTATGGGATTAATAATATTTATTTAATACTTGAATAATCAGATATTAAGTATCCATGATTAACCATAATTGGATATGTGGTGATTAACAATCCTTAATAATGGTGATACCAAGTATTAAAACCATTATTAACCATAATTGGTGATATTCAATATCTGGTAATATTGATAATAATGGTGATATTAATAATGGTTAATAGTGGTTAATAGATGTTAATAGTGGTTAATAAGGATAATTCATGGTGATCAATGGTGATCAATGGTGGTATAACCTCTGGTAAACATACAAAAAACTATGGAAAGATCCACCATTTTATAGTTGGGTAAATCAACTATTTCGACTGGGCCATTTTCAGTAGCTAGGTTAAATTACCAGAGTGTAGAACATACTAAATCTAAAATCAAACATTGAAAACTGTAGTTGAAGGTACTTAAATATGTGTCAAAAATATGAATCAACCATTTTCTTAGGGGAATCCCATCTTTCACGAAGGATTTTGTATTCATATCATTCCTACAAGGTGGGCCTTTTCCAGTTATGTGGGTTGGTTTAGACACCCCACCAACTACACAGTAGTTGGCATTGGCATAAACCCCAGAGATACCCTCTGGTAAACTAACATAACTATTGAAAATGGCCATTTAGTTCGTGGATTTTATCCATTAAAAATGGTGATCTTCCATAGTTTTTTTGTATGTTTACCAGAGGGTATTGGAAATAAACATGCCGCAACTTAGCTATTGTAGGTGTCTCGGCGTTTTGATGCTGATTCTGATGTTTTCCTTGAACCCGATTGACCCAACTGGATAGACTTAGCCTCTGGTTATGACCAACATAGCCATGGTATAGATGGCCCATAGAAATAGATGATTTTCCCAGCTAGAAACCTCCATTTATGGTTGGGATTTTTTCCAGTTCGCTATGTTAAATTTAAACAGATGATACATATTATTCCATATATTGGGAATGTCATCATCCCAACTGACGAACTCATATTTTTCAGAGGGGTAGGTCAACCACCAACCAATATTATTCTAGGTAGATTTTACTAAATTATAACAACCTCATGTTGTAATCTCACTGGAATGATGGTGAATGCATAGGACAATTATCCCAAGAAGAAACCTTATTTCAGGCTAGTGAATTACTATACTGGTTGGTGGTAAATTATACTGGATGGTGGTTTGAAACATGTTATATTTTCCATAATATATAGGATAATCCTGCCCATTGACTAATATTTTTCAAGATGGTTAAAACCACCAACCAGTATAATTTACCCAACTTATTCATGTGAATACGGTTTGTTCTGAAATAGGGTATCCCCCAATTCCAATGAAGACAATCATTTTCCCAATGAAAATAGATAGTTCAACATCACTTTCAGATATCAAACATCATATTCTCGGTTGTATCCCACCATAACACCGCAAAGTGGTTGGTTCAAATAACTAGGTGAACAGATTTTATATTATTTTATAAATATTGACATTTGGGGACGAGATACCCAAATGTTCAATGATTTTATAGTATTTGCGGATACCCTCTGGTAATTTAACATAGCTATTGAAAATGGTGATTTATAGTGGATTTACCCATTGAAAATGGTGGATTTTCATATTTTTTTTGTATGTTTACCATTACCAGTGGGTATATCCCCCTATTTTCCATCATTTTTTTGTTAGTTCCCAACCAGTTTCCACCCCTCACTGTGAGGCGGAGAATTTTCATTTCGTGTCCCGCTGTAGTGATCTGCTGGAGCCGAAGGGCGATGTGCGATTGACGAAGGTATCAGTTGTATCAGTTGAAAAGCCGTTATTCCTGGTTTGGTTTGGGTATAATATCCAATGTTATAGAATACTGGGTGAAAGCCCTAGGTTGTCTCAGGTAGCACTTTGTTGTCTCATCTCGGTGTGCCATGCGGAAGAGGTGACACAACCACTGGAATGAATTACTACATGATTTGTCATTTGGTATGATCTTTACAGCAGAACGCATAGGCACGCAGGGATTCTTAACATTGCAAACATTAATTATATCCATTTGCCCCCTAACAATCCCTGGAGCAACGTGAGTTTCCCACATAGTGTGTCCACACTCGGGGGTCTTGTGATCGGTCCTCCTCCTCCTCCTCCACAGTATCATCATCTTCCTCCTCCTCCTCCTCCACATCATCATTCTCAGCATCATCCTCTTCCTCCCCCTTGACATCATCATCCTCAACATCGTCATCCTCCACCTCATCTTCTGCAACATCATCCTCCTCCACCTCCTCTTCCGCAACATTAATTATCATCCTTTTCATCCTCCTCCTCAACATTATCATCATCAACATCATTATCTTCCTCCTTCTCAACATCGTCATCCTCCACCTCATCATCCCCCACATCATCATCCTCCACCTCATCTTCCGCAACATCATCGTCCTCCACCTCATCTTCCGATATTCTTCCGCAACATGATCGTCCTCAACATCATCGCTCGCACTCGACCACTGAGCAAGTTTCGAGAGAGCTATGCAACTCAATGAGCAAATAGCTACTTAATTTGTTAGACTAGGGTGACCGTGAGCAAATTTCAGGTATACTGCACACGTATTTGTGCACATTGTAAGTTAGACTCCGAATGCAAATATGTACATTTGTGGATGTATATGGAGCGTATTGGTCCAGTTCAGTCCACATTCCACCATCTCAAAAGCTGTGTAATTTGGAGTATAATATCCTGTAGCCCTGCAGCGCTATGGCTCCAAAAGCCAAAGCAAAGGCCCAGGCGGGCGGCGCAGCAGCGAAAGCAAAGGTCAAGGTCTAGGCAAAGGCCAATGCCACCACAAACCTTGCCGGGGCCCCTATTCACGCAGGGACTAGCGGTCCATTGCTTTCAACCCCTTCCATCTCTGTGCGCACTTCTCTTTCTCCTGTTCCAGTTCTTGTTCAATTTCTGACCGTGTTGAATTGGACTCTGATCTGCGGAAGCGACTGTGCCGCCTTTGGACTTTTGTTGCTCCAGCATGCACATTCCGCACCGCCGAGTCTCGCTGCCAATGTGCTGCACACTGTTTGGCGTCTCTTCCTTGGATAATTAAGATCCGCTTTTGAAGTTTTGGGATTCACTTTCGAATTCGAATATTTGCTGATGTCCCCGGTCCAGCTTAGGTCCGGTCAATCAGCCTCCAACGCGGCAACCCTTTGCAGCCGAAACTTGGTTGCAACTGGAATATCAGTTTTGCATTGACGTGTGTGTTTCGTCCTTTCTGTGAATCGCAGCGCTACGCATGCGGCCGCAGCCCAGAGCCAGATATGGTGCCTCCTGACCAAGGCGCTTTCCTTGTCGAAGAATCTGCAGTTCAACTCTTGATTGAAGCTTCATTGGAAAACCAATGTCAGAACAAAATCATCCATCAATTTGGCAGGTTGTGATCCGGCTGTCAGTTCCAAGGACCCGTGCGGGGCACCCTGGGTCAACACCGTTGATTGATACCAAATTTTGAACATGTTGACCGCTACCCATGTTTGATCCACCCCAATTTGATAGGAAAACAAGCCCATCACTTTGTCTCCGCGTTTTTTTTCCGAATCAGGAGTCTCCGCCATGGACTCATGGAGGCCATGGCTCCGCGGAGAACAGTACATGTCTCAATATGGATTGATCGGGAGGAGGATGAACTATATTTTGCCACCGGGTCCAAAACCGCACGTGTAGGCGTGCACATTTTTGTATTTTTGATGATGTAGCGTTTTTTGGTGATGTACACATGAGTTTCTTTGGGGGGTTGGGGGGGCGGCCGGGGGGGTGGTGGGGGGGTTCGGGGGGGCGTGGGGGGGGGGTTCGGGGGGGTGTGGGGGTGGGAGGGGGGCTAATAACGTTTTTTCGCCTGCTTTCTTGACGCTACGTTGCTAACGTTCTTCATGTAACTTGCAACGCGCTCTGGATGCTACGTTGCTAACGTTCTTCATGTAACTTGCAACACGCTCTTGATGCTACGTTGCTAACATTCATGTAACTTGCAACACGCTCTTGATGCTACGTTGCTAACGTTCTTCATATAACTTGCAACGCGCTCTTGATGCTACGTTGCTAACGTTCTTGATGTAAATTGCAACACGCTCTTGATGCTACGTTGCTAACGTTCTTCATGTAATTTGCAACACGCTCTTGATGCTACGTTGCTAACGTTCTTGATGTAACTTGCTACACGCTCCTGATGCTACGTTGCTAACGTCTTCATGTAACTTGCAACACGCTTTCTGCTACGTTGCTAACGTTCTTCATGTAACTTTTAACGTGCTCTTGATGCTACGTTGCTAACGTTCTTCATGTAACATGCAACACGCTCTTGATGCTACGTTGCTAACGTTCTTCATATAACTTGCAACGCGCTCTTGATGCTACGTCGCTAACGTTCTTGATGTAAATTGCAACACGCTCTTGATGCTACGTTGCTAACGTTCTTCATGTAATTTGCAACACGCTCTTGATGCTACGTTGCTAACGTTCTTGATGTAACTTGCAACACGCTCTTGATGCTACGTTACTAACGTTCTTCATGTAACTTGCAAGACGCTCTTGATGCCACTTTGCTAATGTTCTTCATGTAACTTGCAACGCGCTCTTGATGCTACGTTGCTAACGTTCTTCATGTAACTTGCAACGCGCTCTTGTTGCTACGTTGCTAACGTTCTTCATGTAACTTGCAACACGCTCTTGACGCTACGTTGCTAACGTTCTCCATGTAACTTGCAACACGCTCCTGATGCTACGTTGCTAACGTTCTTCATGTAACTTGCAACATGCATATGTTGTCCTCTATGTCTTAATATGTATAAATTCTTGTTCGACCCGGTGGCTAAAACATCCCATGTTTCATCCTGATAAGTTCCTTCTAAAACATATTGTTTTCTATATGAGTGGGTATATGTAACGTAACGTTCTTTCATGATATTTGCGTAGTAATATCTAAATCACGATGGACATCCGCTGCATGCAGGTACGAAGCTCAGTTGCTGGGAAGCTGGTTCTGGTCTGCACGGAGATGGCAGTTTTTTGGGGGTTCTTATGTAATGTTTGTTGCTCAAAATAGATGCATGCTATTGGGTTAAAAATGTTAACAAACATAACTGATGGATGTTAGATGATGGAAAATGATCAGGATCGTAGCTCTTCATAGAAACTGTGTTGCATTTGGACGAGAACACACCGTTTGCAAATACAGACGTCTATATCTTGTGCTTGTCAATGGTTCTTGAGTTTCTCGCAAGCATGTGCCTTGACATGTAAGTATGTCCGGTCCGAACCTGGTCACACATGAACTGATACGCCATGTTCGTGCAGTTTGGCTGCCAGTGATACCGAACTTTCTATCCATGTAACCGACGATGGATGCGGTGGACGTGCGCGTTCGGTTCGCGTGATGGAAGCTCGATGGAATGAAGAACCCATGTCCCGTATGAAATGGAAAACCCAGGATCATTTCATACACGGCCCATTTTGGAAAACGGAACGCAACACCCTGGTTTTTTGGTGCCGTGTTGGGCCCTCCATCCCAAAAAAGAAAGGTGGGGATTCTATTATATACAGTTGCATTTTCTTTGGGTTCAATAGCCCCAAAATCGGCGTTTCCATAATATAAATGGTATTTTATTTAATCATCTTTATGTGGTCTGGAGAATGGTGACGCTAATATATGCTAATATACAACTAATAAGGTGGGATGGAGAAACGTTAAAATTCAATCAGTATTGATGCTTCAATTATGTAGCCTTCCATTTCATAGATGATCCAGCTTCCTTTGTGGTCCATTTTATCAAAAATGATACGTTTTAAGCCGACGTCACGACGTCAACCCGATCCTGCCGGGGCACGAAAGGTTCGCGACAGGGTTTCGGAAGGGCAGTTTTGGGTATCATAGCTTTGAACAACCCCTAAATGATTTGTATGAAATTGATTGAACGTCTTGAAATATAACATAAACTCAATTTGAATTTCATTGGGAACACTTGCTTGTAGTTCCATTTCACACAAGCGGAACTCCACAAACACCTATGTTGTTTATAAAATGGACGGTTCGAAAATGTTAACGTGTCCGAACATAAGCAATCATTTTGCCTTAAAATATTTTAAGATACATCAAAATGACTCCCTCAAGATGCAGCCCGTTCCATAATATATACATCAATTTTCTTGGTTTTAAGTTTTCCCTTTTTTGTCATTTCCACCGCATAGTGTGTCGAAGCATCTTTTTGCATGTCCGGGCTGCTAGGTACCTTATGGTCGGAAACTACTTGTCCTACTTAAAGTAACTTGAAGTTACTTAACCTAGTTAATGTCTACTTATGTTAACTTAAGCGGCATTTGCAAAATCTATTAAAAATTAAGTAAACACAAGTAGTTTATAAGTAACTTATAAGTAGAACTAAGTAGAACTAAGTAGAACTAAGTAGAACAAGTAGAACTAAGTAGAACGCATCCAGACATGCTTGAAAACTTGGAATTTCGATTTTGATGTGCATAGTTGGCGAAAAACTAGGTTTGCAAGTGTGTACGAGCGTATATCTTCGCGGATGTTTCAATTTCAGTTGATTTGTAGTCAATAAGGGAGAACAACAGAAACACAAGTTATTTGAAGCGGTCACACCTTGATGATACATGAGGCCACGAAGACTTGAGTGGGCGCATGCAAGCTACTCCACATGACAGCTCTTATATAGATTTCCACTAACATTCCATAGATATCGTATAGATATTCCATAGATATTCCATAGATATTCCATAGATATTCCATACATATTCTAAAGATATTCCATAGATATTCTATAGATATTCCATAGATAGCATAGATATTCTATATATATTCTATAGATATTCCTTTTAAATATATTATGTTCTACAATCACGGTAGCATAGATATTCCTAGATATTCCTAGATATTCCTGGATACTCCTAGATATTCCTAGATATTCCTAGATATGCCTTTCTTCTGCCTTAGACTCCTATACTTCTTGCACGCCAATCCGCACGAGACTATAGGAATATATGTCACTCAAAACGACAACGAAAGCAATCATGCAGCGGCGCATACCGCTAAGCAAACACATACCGATAATCCAGAACAACAACAACAAACAACAAACATGAAGGTCAAGAAGAAAACATCCTTTTCTCCCACAAAAACACAAACCTCTTTCGAACCATGAACAAAAAACCTTGAAAAACAACAAAAAAACATAAGTAGGTTAAGTAGAATTAAGTAAAACTAAGTCGATCTAAGTAACTACAAGTAACTTAACCTACTTATAACCTAAACCACTAACAGCCCCAACATCTACTTAGTTTCACTTAACAAGTAGCATAAGTAAACCTCAAGTAACTACAAGTAATTTATAAGTTGGTGCAAGGACCGCCCTACTTATAAGTTACTTAACCTAATTAAAACCATGTTACTGCTAACTTATAAACTACTTGTAAGTAGGACAAGTAGTTTCCGACCATAAGGTAGTACAATGGTGGTATTCCATAACATACAACCCCAAAAAAGGATTCATTCTATACAGATATACCTGTATCCAACCATTACATATGCCAGATTTTTATGTAATGTTGGAGTTAGGGGGGATTTTGAAGTGTACATGCCGAGGTGGATCCAAAGTAGTTAGCTTAAAGGCTTCATATAAAAACCAGTGCATCAAAGTGATTTGACATTGCGTGGTTGATCAACATGTAACTATACCTTATGGTCGGAAACTACTTGTCCTACTTACAAGTAGTTTAAAAGTTAGCAGTAACATGGTTTTAATTAGGTTAAGTAACTTATAAGTAGGGCGGTCCTTGCACCAACTTATAAATTACTTGTAGTTACTTGAGGTTTACTTATGCTACTTGTTAAGTGAAACTAAGTAGATGTTGGGGCTGTTAGTGGTTATAGGTTATAAGTAGGTTAAGTTACTTGTAGTTACTTAGATCGACTTAGTTTTACTTAATTCTACTTAACCTACTTATGTTTTTTTGTTGTTTTTCAAGGTTTTTTGTTCATGGTTCGAAAGAGGTTTGTGCTTTTGTGGGAGAAAAGGATGTTTTCTTCTTGACCTTCATGTTTGTTGTTTGTTGTTGTTGTTCTGGATTATCGGTATGTGTTTGCTTAGCGGTATGCGCCGCTGCATGATTGCTTTCGTTGTCGTTTTGAGTGACATATATTCCTATAGTCTCGTGCGGATTGGCGTGCAAGAAGTATAGGAGTCTAAGGCAGAAGAAAGGCATATCTAGGAATATCTAGGAATATCTAGGAGTATCCAGGAATATCTAGGAATATCTAGGAATATCTAGGAATATCTATGCTACCGTGATTGTAGAACATAATATATTTAAAAGGAATATCTATAGAATATCTATAGAATATCTATGCTATCTATGGAATATCTATAGAATATCTATGGAATATCTTTAGAATATGTATGGAATATCTATGGAATATCTATGGAATATCTATGGAATATCTATACGATATCTATGGAATGTTAGTGGAAATCTATATAAGAGCTGTCATGTGGAGTAGCTTGCATGCGCCCACTCAAGTCTTCGTGGCCTCATGTATCATCAAGGTGTGACCGCTTCAAATAACTTGTGTTTCTGTTGTTCTCCCTTATTGACTACAAATCAACTGAAATTGAAACATCCGCGAAGATATACGCTCGTACACACTTGCAAACCTAGTTTTTCGCCAACTATGCACATCAAAATCGAAATTCCAAGTTTTCAAGCATGTCTGGATGCGTCATTCTATACAGATATACCTGTATCCAACCATTACATATGCCAGATTTTTATGTAATGTTGGAGTTAGGGGGGATTTTGAAGTGTACATGCCGAGGTGGATCCAAAGTAGTTAGCTTAAAGGCTTCATATAAAAACCAGTGCATCAAAGTGATTTGACATTGCGTGGTTGATCAAAACTTGTAACAATATACGGACAATGATCACTGAGCTTGAATATAGAATATTCACGTCGCTTCGCGACGGCAACCGCCCGCACCGCATCGTTGGGCAGCCGCTCGTAACTGCCAATGATGTCGGCCATTGAGACCAAAAACATCCGAAAGTACTGATTGTCGGAAAAAAAACGCGAAGAATTTGATAGCCATGTATAGCGGACCAACGCAGTTCAAAAAATAATGAAAAACATGAAAAAACGGCGAAATTGCTGTTATTTACAGTGTTTTTGCGCGGTGAGAAGCAGAAACCACTGCAAATACGATGGTTTTTGAGGGTCAGGTGGCCAAAAACATTGTAATTTACAGTGTTTTTTTAACCAACGTCAAAAAACACTGGTATTTACGATGTTTTCATTCACACCGTAACATAAAACAGCGTAATTTACGAGGTTTTTGGAAGTTTTGAAGCTAGCCGTCAAGCATGCAGAAAACAAAAAAAACACTGTAAAAACCAGTGTTTCTGCTATCACAAAACGACGAAAATCAGTCCGAAAACGGGTCCAAAAACTCAAAAATCCGCCTCCGGGCCCGGCCACCTGCGGAACCGCAAAAAAAGATGTTGCAAACCAAAAAATGGAGGTCAAAAAGTTGAAAAACACGGGTTTTTTTCACTTTTCGCTTGCCGATTTTGGACGGGCGCGTTCACGAACAGGTGTCTTCCGTACTGTTTTTTACAGTGTTTTTTGAAGGCGAGCGTCACGACCTATCAAAAACAGGAGGTTTTGGCCGAAAAATGCCCCCCCCCAGGTAAACCTGTAACCTTTTACGAGTGCCATCCGGAAGATCACGCCCCAGCACCTTCGGTGCGGGCGGATTTCACTATTCAATGTTTGTTGTTGCCATCAACTACCAACGAAATAGATGTGCTTGCGCATTTAATAGCTTCATGGTAGATAATGACATATGCATCGTAGGTGTTTAACTTCGGGGGTTGCGTAAACCACCATCATAACTCATGAGTTTTTCTGGTGAGGGTAGTAGGTGGTAGGCTAATTTGGCTTTGATGGGAGAGTCTTTATGTGAGGATTTTGCCTTTTTGGAATCACAGTTTCATCTCGAACAGAGTGTTAAACAAGCAACCATGATTGCTTGTGAAAATGGAGTAATTTCCTGATCCATCGAGGCAGGTATAGATAAACACTCCTGAAAGGAAGAGTAGCTTGCAGTTGGCGTAGTTTATGCATATTGGGGGCAATAAATATCCCGGTGCATACTGCTCTGCCCCATATATACCCGGTAAATACCTATCACATATTGATCACCTATGTTTAGCCGCATTATATACCAGGTATGTGCCTGATATATATTGCTCAAGACGATATACGCCGGGGTATATACTGCTCCCCTATACCAGTAGCAATATGTGGGGGCAAGGCGGCGTTTTTTTGTTTACGGTGTTTGTGTTTAGAGGAAGTTGGCTTTTCGGCATTCTTTTAGTTTTTTCCCGTTTTTGGGGCTCCGATAAAAATGTGCTCCTGTTCTTGAGGGAGCTTGTGGAAATCAGTAAAAGGTAGTTACAGGCAAACCTCTGTATATATGACCGGTATATGCCCAACCCAAACAGAGGGGTATATACCAGGTATATACCAGGTAATTATATATTGCCACCCCCTAAGTATATAAGCCCTACCGCCTGTGACAAGAACCAAAGAAATTCCTTGATTCCCGAGCTTGCCCAGGACATCGTTGTTGACCGCGAAAAGGTGACCAATGGGGCGAGCGACATCGGCTGGGTGGACGCGGCCAAGATGGGCCTGTGCCCAGAGCTGGAGCCGGGGGAGGTGAAGATGTATGCCGCCAGGCAGTTCAGGGGCATCATCCCCTTGGATGATGGCCGCTGCACTTTGGCAAAGGGCATGCTCTTCATCGACCCCATGCGAGAAAGGGGGCTCCGCTTGCGAGAAAGCTGCTGCAAAGTCTTCTGGGCACAGGACCCCAACAGCCAACTCGCTTACGCCTTCGACTTCACGCAGGCGGACGGAAGCCAGCAGAGGGGTTGATTTACAGAAACAGGGACATTCATATCATGGCTATATGGTCATAAATCAACTCCTTGGTCGTGGTTGGGTGAGCCACACATTTTTTTTCAAATTCTCAGTTGATGTCATCCCATGCTAGTGAAGACACCTCATGAAAGCACTTGCTGCTCAGTTGTTTTTTGATGCTCCCATTGATCCATTTCTAGCGCTGTTGGAAATGGCTAAAGACATTCCGCTTCACCATTTCTGCCTCCCTTTCCCTGCCGTTCACCGTAAACATTTCCCCAGGGATGTTGATTTTAGTAAATAATATGCACGTATAAATAACATCTAATGATACACACACATATATATATATAGGTATAGGTATAGGTATAATTAGGGGTATATATATATATACATATATGCGAGCCATGACAATATATTGTATATATATGTAAATGTATATCATGACAAAATACGCCTATCTAACCCGATGATACTGGTTGGAAAATGGGTATCCGTATTGTGGGTTAGTTCCTAGCTCCCAAGAACCCCCGCAGTGGTATAACTTCCTACGGATCAACCAATCAACAGAGGTATTTTCAATGGCTCATACAAGGTAGCGCGCCCCTGTTAAGAACAATGTTAAACCCATTAAATTATATAATATAGATTAAAAAAAACTATCATACAACCCCAAGTTCTAGCTATTTAATAACATTAATCAGCTATATATTCCATGAGAAATCCTGCCGCTGACATCACCAGCTTAATCCTATCATTACAGCTGGACAGCACCAGCAACTGAGCTCATGGACATTGTCCTTCACATCCCGGTCCCTTTTATGTCCAATGGACAGCACGACACGTTGCACAAGTTGGATCCCAGTAGAATGTTAGACATAACCCCAATGCAGAAAAATATAGCTCCCAAGAGTTGTAAATTTTATGGCCCAGAAAAGCCTCACTTCTTCAGTGATAAACTTTTAGATTGGAGGCATAATACCAATTGTAATTGTGGGCCAGAATTGTCAGACTAGTTTAACTAGAGTTCCATGGGGTTTTTAGACTAACAAACATCCCTGTGGGTCCCCGAAATCGAATCCCAGGCATGACCTTGTATGCCCTCCGGGTAATCAAACATGACTACAGGAAATCCCTGAACTAAAGGGAAGGGGAAATTTCCAGAAATGGTGGAATTTCCATTGCCGCGGTTGATTTCTGGACGGTATATCATCTGTTGTTCCGACTACTTTATGGCGAACAAAACATTGCCCAGAATGAGTCGGGGTTTCTTGGACATTTTGTGAGAGGGAATCTGGATTAGTTGTAGCTTACTCACTAATCTGAATGAAGGCCATTAGGGGATGATTTCCCTTAGTAACTCATACCGAGGGAATGGAATCCTCTAGAATTTGGATGCTTCCAGTGATTGATTTTTCATCTGAGTCGACGAAGATGCTTCTCATGTTTCAAGCTTTCTTGGAGTGACAACTGTTAAGGATAAGTTTCTGTGCTTCCCTCACTTGCGCATCTTGTTTCCTTCCAGGACACGGCGGAACCCTTTGGCAACGCCTCTGTAAACTGCCAGCTGGCTGCTGCATTGCACATGCGCGCCCTGGCAAGTGAAGACCCTGCAGAGCGCGGGGCACGCATGACCCAGCTGCGTGAGTTGCGCCCCGGCTTTTGAAGGAAGTGGTGTAACTTAGGTGCTACGATTTGCTTCTGATGGGCCCATATACGTTAAAAAAAACGCATTATCGTTATGCAGGGTTTGCTTCAAGCTTGCGTAAACGGATCCCACTTGCATTGTCATGTGACTTACTACATGTTTAGGTGGGCCACACGGATTATGTAAGTATCATAAGTATGAATCTAGCTGTGCTAAGTGTGCACATAGGGGGTTTATAAGTAGGCCAACGTGGCTAATAAGATAAGAATTATCTTTAAGTTGTGTATGCATGTACGGAGTAGATACCATTTTGATCCATTTTGCGGTGGTGTTTAGCCGATATCTTCTTCGCGTGGCAAAGCATGCGTTGCGCCATCGCTTCAATGCAGTTTCAGTGGATGACATTCGTGAGTTGCTTCTAGTAGCACGGTTGCAAATATCTCTTCCATGGAAAGGTTTCCCTTACTTTCAAGATGGTCGGCTCTGTTGGCAGCAAGATCCCTTTCCAACGGAACGGTTTGGAGAGCTGTCACATGTTATGAAAGCCAAATATGGAGACTTGCGTCTCAGTTTGTCGCGCAATTCCCGCGCAGACCGTGCAACGCCTGCTGTGCGCAGATGAGTTTGGACCCACACGCAAAGGAAAGAAAAAACGGAAGCCGTCATGGTGTTGCCAATGCTGAGCTGTAGTTGGAAGAAATGTTGAATGATTTTCAGTTTCCACGAACATGATGCTTCCACTTCTGTTAAACTCCTCCTTAACTACCTATAGTATATACATAGATCAACCTATATCGTATGTATTGCATGAAGAAGGTTTGAAAGATTTGACAGGAAGCCGTCACGAGACAGACCAGAGTGACGACTAAAGAAATTGAGAAATGAAATTGGAACGTTGTTCTTGTGTCTACATGACATGCTGTGTGCTCCACTGCATGACACATCCTGATCGCAGCCGTTGTCCCTGTCAACGCCGTCCCATATTGCAATGAAGGTTGCTTCGTCGAAAAACGGCGACGTGTGGGAACAAAGAAAGAACCGACGTGTTCCATTTGCCACTCCCGAAAGCACTATGGAAGCACATGTCCTCAGCTAGCTCAAAAACTCCTGCGGGCTGTGTGTCAAAAAACAGGCGTGAAGAACTTGTTGAAAGCAGTTTCAGAAAAAGAAAAGTCCTGTCCTGACAGTTTTGGAAGCCAAAAAGAAACCGTTGCGAACCTTGAAGCGAAGATCACGTGGCAACGCTGCTGCTGGGAAAAAAGCTCGCAAGGCCGACAAAGGGGGGCCAAAGGTAGAAAAAGAAAAACAGCAAGCGAAACAATGCCATAAGAGACAAGGATAGAAAACCAAGAGCTAAGAAAATGTTGTCTGCTGCTGGCATCAAGCCGACAGAGACAAAGAAAGCTTACGCAGAGTTGAAAAAAGCTGGCTGGTTGTGGCAACCGAAACATTGTGACTGTGGTGGTGTCCTCACACTCCAACCTTATGATACCGCTAAGCATCGTGGAAAGAATCGATGCTTCTATCGATGCTCCGATTGCGAAGGTTAGTTTCTTCAGATAAAAAACTTATGTTCTCAGTCTACATAATTGTTCCAGTGAATTCAACAGAACGCAATTCTTGGTCAACGCTGAACCCTGCAGGTATCTTCGATGTCCTGACGTGGTCTCACTTGGTCACCGTGAGGATGGCCTTGTGGCATGTGTGGCAAGCTCTTCTTCTTTGGTTTGGTACGACTCCAGCCCCGTCAGTAGATGATGTTGGACGCCGTCTTGGTGTGAGTGGTTCATCCACTGGCCCCGTGAGCAAGTTGTTGCATTGCGTTTTGGGACAAGAAGCAGGCCTTGCTCTGATTCAACAGAATCAAACCAAATTGCGCGGATTCATTCAAGCAGATGGCACAAGTGTGCGACATTACAAAGTTGGAACTGATCTCATGTACATTCAATGGTTTGGAATGATTCAAGGAGGTCCCCTGGAATTACGATCTAGGAAGTTGTTGCTGTTTCTTTGGGTTCTGCCAGAGCAAGTGCCTTGGGAAAACCACCACCGGAAAAGTTTCAAAAATTGGAATCCAGTGGTTCCTTCAAGTTCATCTCGCGCAGTCCAGATGGAAAGAAGTGGGTCCTTCTGACCGATGGAGCACCGTGTTATCCTCACATGTCAGTGCAGTGTTCCATGCATCACTTTTCAGTCAACCACAGCGCAGGTGAATTTGAAAGAACAGTCCGCTTTTGAAACTGCCCCCTCTCGGTACACACAGGTACCATTGATAGTGTTTGGGTTCACCTCAAAAAGAACATACCAGCTAGTTTGAGTTCCAAATCACCCTAGATTGAACATTGCATTCGTGCGTGGCAATGGAGGTTCACGCACTCCCATGTCTCAAACCTGTTTATTACAGCTGGGAGCGAGTTGAAACGATTGAAGAAATGATGGACGAAAAAAAATAGCGCGAGTTTTGAAAACAAGAACTTCAAAAAAATATCATATGTTAAAAAAATCACTGGTTGTAGAAACCATAAAGATGAAAAGCATATTTTACTTGGGCAAACACATGCAATCAAGCTTCAACCGCTCTGATACAGAAGCAAACACACGATACAGAGGCCAAGAGAGAAAAGCATTTCGTGCGAGTTGCATTGTGCCAAAGCTAAGGTAAAATAGCATTTTTCAAAAAAAGGTATCGTTTTTGGGACCCCCCAAAAAAATGAAAAAATGTTTTTTAACCTGAGAAAACACACACATAATGCGAGAAGCACTGTAAACGCATGCATTTTAGAGTATCCAAGGCTTACAAAACACTGTAAATACAACGTTTCACAAAATTCACATCATAAAATCGCAACGACTACACCTTCAGTTCCCTACCCGGCGGGATGTCTCAATATGGATTGATCGGGAGGAGGCACCTTCCCATATTCTGATTCCGGGCATAGCTAAATGCAACCTCGGGACATGATTCCAAGTTTGCAACGACTTCAAAACATGATGCATCTGAGCCGCTGTGCCATTAAGATTTGACACCTGGGGTAACTACTGTCTGCCCTGGGGTAACTCGGTGTGCTTTGCGGTTGGGGTAGCGACCCCTTGTAGATGGTGTAATTAAGGGCACCCGCTTGTAATATCCTATAATAACCATATTCCAGGAGTTATATATTTCTGAAGAACAAACCAACCATTGGATTAGACCTGCCCATGCAGCAAGTATTCCTGCAACCAAAATTAAATTTGGTTACATCAATTATATCTGTAGGAACCTTTAAGCTCTACCGATTTTGATGGGTTGAACTTACATAGTAACCAACTATATAAAACATCGAGAAACACTCAATTGTAATCATTTTAGTAGTTTTTTTTTTTTTCGTTTCTATCGTTTTTGGGGGTTGCTGTAGATATAGACCAAATAGTGTTCCCCAATGGGATCAGGTTTCTGAACGCCCGGTGCATTGGTGCCATGCTGGATGAGGTAGGCGGTTTTTGACCACAACCGGAACGTATCCCACATACAAGGTGGTGCCCCAGTTCGGAATCGTTAAGTTGGTTTATAAGTCCAATAACTATGGTTTATGGTGGATATATCTATAGTTAATGGGATTATAACCCATTTATAACTGGGGGGCACCACCTTGTATAACTGGTTTATTTCATGTTGTGAAAACCACTTACTACGTGTGATAGGTATGTCTATGTAGCTAATTTTTGTTCAACCCAATGAGATTTTGGAGTCATCTCCCCGGATGATGGTTAACATATTATACTTAATGTCAAGTTAGGATTAATAATCCCAGCGGTATTAATCAACCCCCTCTGCCCAAAAGAAAAAATGTAATTTAAAAAAAAATGGTCCCCCAGGATTAATAAGCCTCCCCGATTAAAAAACCTCCAGTGCTGAAATCAATGTTTTATCCAAAAATTTTTAGTTCCAATTCTATTTATTTCCAATTTGTTTTTACTTTTTTTAAATCATCATTGTTATACTTAAGGTTTAAGTTTATCATTAAAAATTTCAAAAAACGACTATTCCCCAAATGATCGATTTCTAATAAAATATTCATAAAAATCATCAGTTTGGATAGCTCCCAAAGGGTACCCCCCATGAGCCCATGTCCCCCATTAATAATAACCAGGGTTTGCCCCTGATTAATCAACCACCTTTCTGATCCATGAGATTTTAACAAATCCAATAGAATTCTATTAAGATCTAATTGACGTAAGCCATATCCAAATTTTTATGGTTCAGAGTTGCTTATTTATTAAGGGGTGGTCGAGAAACTCGCCAGAAGGTACCCCCCTACCTACCTGGTGGGGGGGGGTTGATTAATCCGATGTTGCCATTACCCCAAAAACCAAATTCAAAGGTAAATTGAAAGAATAAACACATGTCATTCACCATATTTTACCATTATTTCAACAGGAAATTCAAGTTTTTCTGCATCTTCTGGGGTTTGCTATACCTTCCGGCAATCAAACATGGCAATGGACAAAACCTGCAGGACGTGAGAGCACGGTCAGCCCTGGCCGATCGGCCGTGGGTCTGGCCACGGACCTCGCGGGTCGAGGACTTTCGATGTCAGGCCGGGGGCTGTTTGAATGTCAAGATGGGATGGGGCACCTGCAAATCATCCTAACATATCGTAACATGGGTCATGTTTGATGGGGGGAACGCTTTTGATTTTGGGGTAGCCCGGGACCTAGAAAACCACCATAAAATCTGCTCTCGTTTGCTATCGTCCCAGGTCACTCAGATGGTCCGCATGGCCAAATGCCTGTCAAACGCGGATGGACATCGGAGGGTCACTTGGTATGATTTGCGTGTCGAGTTGGACAAGTATCAGCGAATCATGGGAGATTTGAATAGATTTGAATAGATTTGTTTGGTTGGTTCTTCGTTGGTTTGGGTTGGGTTGGTTAGGTTGGTTGGTAATATCCACCAATAAGGTGGTGGTGAACATGAGGAACATTGCCGTGGGGATCCGTGGGGAGATATGTATAGATCAAATATATAAAATTGTATATTATATTGATATGTATCAGTTGTAATATTCGATCAATTATATTTTGTATATATATACATATCAAATATATCACTTATATTGTATTATATACATATCAGTTGTAAGCTATAAGATCAGAAAGCGAGAGTAGACCCCAGACACCCAATGTTTCTCTTGATCTCCAGGGGGATGTAGCCGAACTGGGACCCGATGAGCCTGTCGCCTTTCCTGTGGGATGAACGTACGGCCATAAAAATGGCTGCCATTGATTTCAGAGTCACACAGGAGATAAGGGATGAAAATCCCAATTTTACGATAGATTTTTGCGATGAAGTCGAAAGATTATAAAGCTTTCACAAACAGATCATAAGGGTTGAGTGGACAATAGGTAGGTGCTTTGATTTTCTTCTTGGTGTAACAATGGGGGGTAGCAAGCCTGGAAGCATGGTTTCTGACCATTCTTTTCTCAATGCCTTTATTTTTTCATAGGGTTATGGGTCAAAATGATGGTGCCCCACGGAGACTCCAAATGCACCAAATGCACCACATTCTTCGGGATCATCCAATGTTATCGCCAACCTGATGGGGACCCAGCTCTTGAGATTAAGAAAAAATACCCTCTGGTAAACTAACATAACTATGGAAAATCACCATTTTCAATGGGTAAATCCACTATAAATCATCATTTTCAATAGCAAACTGTTAAATTACCAGAGGGTAACTTTGCATATGAAATCCGGTCATCTCAATGGGAGATCTCCAGGATCCTAAATTGATGGAGCTAGCCATATGAATTGGTGGTATATCCCCTGAAATTTAGCCCTGATATATATAGGCCTTATATATGGAATCGGTACCTCCAATAAATCGGTTCCTGAAATGGACATTGATCATATGTCTCCAATACATTCTTATGTGTATATGTCTCTTATACCTCCATGATATATCATTATATCACAGATATCATGGGGTTTGTACCCTGTAGCACCCCCCCCACCCCAAACCCCCCCCCAAGAAAAAGACTCGTTTGACACATGGAAACTACGGGAACAATCCTAGTTTCACATTTTTCAGCATTCTGTTGGGGAAGCCATTTTTTTACAAATTCTTGGTTAAATGACCATTTTTCATGGTTACATCCCATGAAATATCCAGATATATGCAATTTGTTTCCAAGCTTTGTCCGTGGATATAACCTGAAAAATAACAATGGATTTATGGTTCATTAAGCAACATATATATATATATTTGGGATGCCTACCCACTATACCACCATTTTTCTTCGTGACATCCAGATATATCCAATGAAACATCCAGATATATCCCAGATATATCCAGATATCCATGCTGAAAATCCAATGATTCATGATTTTCCTGGTCCCTGAAAGGGGATATAAGCTGCTGTTCTTCTCGCATGAAACATAGGGATTTATGGCCATGCGTCATCCCGTCAAAATTCTAGAAAGCAACTTAGCTATCATAGAAAAATCAGCGCTAAATCTGAAAAATCCAATAAAATCTCGATTAAAACTGCTATAATTCCCATGAAATCCCCATTAAATCCTATTAAATCACCATTAAATCAGTTTTTTTTCAAAAAAAAAACACATTTGTCGGTTGGTGAAATCCCCTACAACGTTGGACCATCTCTGGTAGCAAGGTCATCTTGTTGCTGGGTGCACCGGGCGCTGGGAAGACGGCCACCTGTTGGGGGAACCCAGCAAAGTTGGTGGAGGATATAAGTTCACTGGATATATATATATATAGTAGTTGTATAATATAGTTATATATATAGTTATATCGGTTGTCGTGTATATCACGTATTATATCCATTTAACTGGATGATATTTTAGATATTAAGGATAGATTTTGAAGCATGAAACTATAGGGATATAAGTGAAGCGGATATGATCATGTTGATGGATATAACTTAACTGGATACAATACATGACAACCGGGGTTTTGAACACTGTTCAAGTGATCTTTGTTATACCCTCTGGTAATGTCAACGTAGCTATTGAAAATGGTCCATTTATAGTTTATTTACCCATTAAAGGTTGTGATTTTCGATCGCTATGTTAGTTTACCGGAGGGTATAAGTTAAGATAGTTAAGTGATGTTAAGTGGAGATGATATGATATAATTTCGTAATTGCTGAATGATGCCTGGTTGATTAGTTGGGAGATTATGCTACCCTGGATATACTGGGGATTAGAATCCACTGGAACCCCTATTGCCCTATTACCCAACCAGTAGAATGGAATGACAGAGGGATTTATTTCACACTGCTCAATGGGCAAATGAGCTGGATGAATGGGATACCATGGGGAATCGCCAGCAAATAATGGGATATATTACATATATATATATATATGGGGGAATATGACCAACATCATAGGAAATTTGGTCATATTAATAGGGAATATGATGATAAACGATTAAGTTTCAGGGTGCCCTAATCTCAGCCAAATTCATAATATGCGCGATATGATTGTAAATACAGTATCACTAGTTTGATATTATATATTTTTATATGATAATCCCTGTCCCTGTATGATGCAATATCATAGGTTGCAAATGTCACTCAATTTTGGCTGTAGTGCATAGAAAAACGTGCAACATAAATATAAACATACTACCAGTGTAATTGATCATAATGGCTACATAGCATTCAAATTGATTCGATGATGACTATTTCGGTACCTTGTGCCCTTACATTGTATAACCTGTCATTCGAGCATAATTGCGGACGGGACTGACAGGTGTCTTGTAAGATGCTTGGATGCGCTGATCCTCTACAACAATCATCTAATTTCCTCATATTTTTTCTCTGGTGCAAACCCTAGCATTGTTCCATGGCTGTGGGACATTTACACTGTTTTTGTTTTCCCATTATATCCCTATTGTGGCTGTGTTGTTTTCCCATTCTGAGACAATTCAAAAGTTGGTGGAAATCGATGGGTTATGGGTGCTATAAATCAGCCCCAGATGATAAGTTTATGGCATTGGGTTTGCCATGGTTTACCACACTATTTGCACTTAAAGCTATGTGTTAGTAGTTTTTTGAAGATCCCATCAACCTTATTTGCGAAATTTCCAAAAGCAGTGCTTGTTGGGTTTCAAACTCTTGATCTGACACTAGTGCATCACGGATTGCAGGGCACTCAAAACCGGAATGGAACCTTGGAACCCTTACTGCTCTTGGGTTGGAAAACGTGGTAAATCTGCTGGTAATCTCTCTGAAAATCACAGGACACCGGACACCCAATCAACATTCAATGGGTTCAATGACTGGCAAAACTAAGGGATTTCTGAACAGGATGGGGCCCCCCAGTTATAAGTTGGTTTATAAACCATTACAATCCCCATTAACTAGTTCGTTATATCTAGCATAAACCATAGAATTCATCCACTTATAAACCAACGGTTCACGCTATCGACTGGGGGCCTCATCCTGAAGGTGAACTCACCATTTAGCTGGATGAACTCAATGATCCCCAGATTTGGTTGGGTAGTAGATCCCCTTGTTGGATCGTTGAAATACTCGGTTTGATGGTCAAATCCCCAAAAAATCGGATGATCAAAATGTCGACATGTCTGGGATAGTTCAATCCATATTTGGATAGGTACCCTCTGGTTTTTACATACAAAAAGCTATGGAAAATGGCCATTGAAATAGTGAGTTTTCCCATGAAAATTGGGGGATTTTTCCATCGTTTTTTGTATGTTGACCAGAGGTTATATCACCATTAATCACCATTGATCACCATTAATCCCATCCTTATTAACCACTATTAACATCTATTAACCACTATTAACCATTATTACCAGGGGGTGTCAATTATCATAACCCACTACCATCCCATTAATAGTTGATTTGCCCATTAATAATGGTTAATATCACCAGGCCGGGTACTTCCCCATGGTCGTCTCGACCTGGTGAAATCCGATTTCTCCGCCGAGGCCGGGAGTTCTGCAACCACTTCAGCGGGCCGGGGCGTCTCTTTGGCGGCCGTGTGCTGTTCCTGCAGAGCCAGGCAGCCAGGGGAAACTCATGGGATCTACTGAAACCAAAACCCCTGTTGCTTGATGATTAGTTCGGATCATATACTATATAATCTATATATATATTATATATATATATGGATTCTATGTATGCATGTATCAACTAATATATATATATATTTAATTGTAAATACATGTTTGTAAATGTAGCATACATCATTTCCATTAAACAGTGTTCGCCACCTCGTTTCTACGGCTCCAGATCGGGATGATCCCGGTGGAAACCATTGATACTTCCGCATTTTTCATGATTAAAACCACATGTTCCATGGTAAAAACCACGTTTTCCCACGGTAAACCACCCATATTCTCGTGGTTTCACCGTTTCACCCGTCCAATTTCTGATCCCCGCAGCGCTGCCATGGCAGGTCCTGCGAGGCGCAGCCAACACGGCCGGCGGCTCGATGGAGGATTTCCTGCGCCAGGCGACGCAGGGTTTTGGCAGGGTTTTGGCTGGTGATTAATGATGATTAATACCATGGTTAAATCATCCTGAAAATAGTTATATAAATATGGTATAATATCCATTAATGGATGGCTAAATGGTGTGTGTATAATAGATGATTAATACCATGGTTGGTGGTTAATCACTGGTTAATGGGATTATATACCAATAATAGTGGTGAATGATGGTTAATGGTTAATAATCACTGGTATACCATGGTTGGTGGTGACTGGAACCATGGAATTTTGAACCACCAACCAGATATAAATATATTTGGTAGATGATTAATAGATGATTAATAGATGATTAATAGATGATTAATAGATGGTATGAAGTGATGATTAATAGCATGGTTGGTGGTTAATAATCACTGGTTAATGGGATTATATACCAATAATATCCTGAAAATAGTACATGTTTATATATATATATATATATATGGTATATATTATATATATGGTATAATATCCATAAATGGATGGCTAAATGGTGTGTGTATATATATATATATGTATAGTTATTCCATATACTGGTTGGTGGTGACTGGAACCATGGAATTTTGAATGACTTTCCAGAAACAGTTGGGAATGGAATGTCACCATCCCAACTGACGAAGTCATATTTTTCAGAGGGGTAGGTGATGATTAATACATGGTATACCCACATGATACATAGATGATTACTGGATTTTAGTGGTTTACTGGATTTTAATGGAATTTAATGGGTTTTTCCATATATTGGGAATAATCATCATCCCAACTGACGAACTCCATCATTTTTCAGAGGGGTTGGTTGAAACCACCAACCAGATTAATAGATGATTAATAGATGGTGTAAACCATGAATAGATGGTATAAATCGATGGTTAACCATCCGACAAATCACCAGGAATAGGTGGTATAAACATGATGAACAGATGATTAATAGATGATTAATATAGCTAATAATTATATGGTAATTGTGATGATTTAGAGGTACAATATTTTATTATATCCAAATGGTTATCCAGTTACTAAGTGGGATGAGGATGATTTAGAGGTACCACATTGAAATATATAGATAATCCCGAATGATATCAAGGATTAGGATTGATAATCCCCAATGACACCCTACAATCCTCTATAATCATCCAGATATTTTGTTCGAGGATTGTAGGGTATCTGGATGATTTATATATTTAGATAGATTATAGATGATTCATCGATATCCCAAAATATTTGCATGATTTAGATATTATAGATTATAGTGATTATCCAATTTGGTACATAGCATTGATAAAGTTCTTCGAGGTACCACATTAAAATCTGGTTGGTGGTTCGGAACATGTTTTATTTTCCATTTCATATATGGGTTGTCATCCTTCCCATTGACGAACTCCATCATTTTTCAAGATGGTGATTGCACCACCAACCAGGTTATTGTTAACCATCATTAACCATATAATAACCATATATTAACCATTATTAACAGTATATCAACCATATATTAACAGTATACCATCATTAACCATATAATAACCATATATTATATAACAGTGTATTAACCACCAACCAGTATAGATAACCCCCCAATGATATGAACATATTTCAATGATCCGATGGAAAGTCCATGATTTTTCTCCGCTGAGTGGGATGATTCGAAGCCATCGTCATCCGTGGTTGACTGGAAATCCAAACTGGGTAGCCCCTGAGTCCGAAACGGACATCGAAACATCAATTCTTCATTTTGGCCATGAACATGTGGAGAAGTATAGAAACCACAAGGAAGTATGGTAGTATAATGGTAGTATAATGGTAGTATAATCACATAATTGAAGCCATAATACCATAATTAATCATCCAGTATGTTAAATACCATAATAGATTCAATCTTTCTGATCATTTAACATAGCAAACTGGAAACCATAATGTTTACAAACGCTAAGCCATCATGTTTATCATCTATGTTCATGGGCCATTTTCCATGGCTATGTTAAATAGCCAAAGCTTAATTCCAGAATTCTATAGTAGACAATAGGTCATAGGGTAATATGGCTTCCATGATAATGGATACTGGATACTTATATAGATGATTTCTATGGATACACTGTAGATCTGATAATATAGATATTACTATGGGTAGACTATGGGTATTACTATTGGTATTATTATGGATAGACTATGATAGTAGATATAATTGTAGAATACTATGGATAATGGTAGAAACCATAGATAATAGATATTCTATGATTATGTTTGAATAAATTCCTCAAGATGTAAGGGAACCTCAAACAAATCCATAGTCAATCATCATTTTCCCAATCTGAAATGGCCATAACTGAGGAGTATACCCCATTTTCAGACACACTCATTTTGTTCAATGATTTGTCTATTACCCTCTGGTAAACTAACATAGCCATTGAACATGGCCATTTATAGTTGATTTACCCATAAAAAATGGTGGTTTTCTATAGTTATGTTAGTTTACCAGAGGGTAGAAATGGTGATTTTCCAGTTTGCAAACGGTTCGTCATTACCAGATGGTATTTTGGTGGATTGATAGTTCACCATCACAAATGGGGAAACACAGGAATTCATCGATGACTGGTTGGTGGTTTGGAACCATGGAATTTTATGAATTTCCATCATCCCAACTGACTCATATTTTTCAGAGGGGTTGAACCACCAACCAGATTTTGATTTGGGATGATACTGAATCCGTGGAACTGCTCAAGATGCTAAAGTTCGAGAAATCTTTGGACTTGGAATGAAAATCGGAACTCAAGTTAACTAAAATTCAAAGTGAATTTCACATAATCCAATCGCTGCAAGGTATTTCACATGGACTCAGATAAGTGGCTAAGTTCCAAATGCAACTAGGTAAGTCCAATGTATAATGTCAACCATGGATTAATAAACCATGGTTTATTAATTAGGGGGGTACTCCTCCAATAGTCATAATCTAATACTTAAATGGTACCCTCCCAATTAAACAGCCTAGGGGTTTATTAATCCAGGGTTGACATTATTTGGGTTGAATCATGACTACAAAACCATTGAATCGTGATGGTTTTGCAACTGCATAGAAAGTTGGGTAAAGCATCCCATCGAACATCCCAGTGGTAAGATGAATTGGGTTCCATCCAATTTTGGTTGGTCCACTCTGGGCTAAATCCAGCTTTGAAATCGAAGATCCTCTATGGTTGGGTTGCTGATTTTGTCATATCTTAATTTTCTCGCTTGGTTGGGTTGTTGATTCTCTCCAGAATCATGTTGCTGATGCCGAGGGATAGTACTCCAATGATGGGATGTTGAGTTTTTTTCCAGCAATCTCTTACCCTCTGGTAATTTAACATAGCTATTGAAAATGGCCCAGTCGAAATAGTTGATTTTCCCATTAAAAATTGTGATTTTCCATAGTTTTTTGTATGTTTACCAGAGGGTATGCCTTTCAGGCATCTGCCCGCATGGGATGTTTTTTGCTCTTAATTTTGCCCACATGGGAGGCATTGACGGAGATCTCCACCACGGTCCAGGGTCAAGGGTGGGAGTCTGAGACACGGTGCAGCTGGTGCTGAGACGGTGGGATAGGGCCTAGGGATCTCCCGAACATTGCCATATTTTTCATGGGAAAAGTATGGAAAAGCGATAATTCATCAATGATTTCCCCTTGGGATCCTCTCTGGAGTTTTGTTTTGCCATCATTTGATGATCAACCAATGGTCCATTGCATTTGGGGGTACCAAATTTCACCATGACCAACAACATTTAGCCTCTGGCTATGACTAACATAGCCATGGTATAGATGGCCCATAGAAATAGATGGTTTACCGAACTTAATAGCATGGTGATTTTCCATTGCAAACTGTTAGTCATAACCAGATGGTAAGTCAAGTTCGACTGTCCTTTTTGGTCTCCGTGAAACATCTTTGGGAATAGCACCCTGAACGTGTCCACCTCGGATTGAGAAACTCTGGTTGAAGAGAACTGGAAGGGCTTGCTCTGCTATTACATGGTACCCCAGAATACAACAACCAAGAATGATATTGCGGCTGGAACACGGGTGTAACCCACAGCCTCTCGGCTTTCACCATTTATAACTATATGTACTGGTTGGTGGTTTGGAAAATATTGGAAAATGGCTTTTATTTATCCCATATATATTGGGAATGTCATCATCATCCCAACTGATTAATATTTTTCAGAGGGGTTGAAACCACCAACCAGTTATGTATGTATATATATACGTATACATATTGCCAACATAGATTATTATAGTTATATCATCTTTGCAGTTAGGCTGTATTGCGTCCTACTCACCATTCATAAAAGGATATCAAAAGGTTAAGTTGTACACAGATGCATTTCCATTGGTCCGGCGAGCTATAGATGCCCCCCATGGCCATGGTCATGAGCCGGTTCTTAACCGGAAGGTGTTTGGAACTGGCTTAAACCGATTTACTCGTATTCTGGATGGCTGTCTGGTGTGTGTATATATATATACTGGTTGGTGGTTTGGAACATTTTTTTATTTTCCCATAGTATATGGGAATGTCATCATCCCAATTGACGAATTCATATTTTTCAGAGGGGTAGGTTGAAACCACCAACCAGCAATACATATCCACACCAAAAACGGATGGCTGATATACACCCTTTTTAGCCGCTGGGTGTTCGGTGTGGCACGGTCCAAGGTGGATACATGCACCGAATTTATGATTTATCACATTTGTTTCCCCAAATGTGGGAAACCCAATGTCATAAACCAGGCCGAAAATCACCATTTTCATGGGTGCTATAAACCATCCCCAAATGGTAAGGTTATGGCATTGGGACCCAAGTTTTGGGCATCCAGACGGTTCAGATCCTAAGAGTGGCCTATTTGTGAGTCACTAAACTGGGTCCCTTTTTTGGGGAATATTAAAATAAATCAGAATCAAAGATTCAAACCCAATGAAACATGAACATCGGAACTGTTTCAGAACTATTTTTGAAGATTTAACATCCAAATGCAACTTGGTCATATCATTAATAGTTTTTTTTTTAAAAAAAACAAAACATAGATTTCACCAATATACCCTCTGGTAAACTAACATAACTATGGAACATCACCATTTTTGAAAAATCCACTAGAAATGGTCATTTTCACTAGCTACGTTAGTGTTTACCAGAGGGTAGTCACCAAAAATCCAAGGATTTATTTCACATGATCCACCGATCGCTGACCTCGCTGGCCTCGCTGACCTCGCTGACCTCGAGGCTCTCTCTTCTGGTGATCGACGATCTTCACATCTTCCAGGAGCCGTTCGAAGCCATGGGACGATGGGTCAATTTCTTGGGACTGATACAACTTATACTTCGTTGGTGGTATAAATTATGATTAATAGATGATTAATAGATGATTAAAATATGATTAATAGATGATTAATAGATGATTAAAATATGATTAATAGATGATTAATAGATGATTAATAGATGATTAATAGATGATCAATAGATGATTAATAGATGGTATACCCACATGATTAATAGATGACTCGTTGGTGGTTTGGAACCTGAATTTTATTTTCCCCAATAGTTGGGATGATGATCCCATTTGACTTTTATATATTTTCAGAGGGGTTCAAACCACCAACCAGACTTATACTAGCTAATTTATTGGGTATTATGACAAGCTATAGGATTGGGAAAACATTGTCAAAAGCGTTTTCAACCCACTGGTATTTCATGAGATGGGATAGGTTTTTTGTTTAATGGCTCAGTGGCTCAGTTGGTGAAACATAGGTGAACGGAACTTGGGTATATGGAATATATATCCACACTTAGTTGGGTTAACCAGTGGGTCAATCCCAACAAAACAAGGGCATTTACAGCAGTAAGAGAAACAGCGGGTACACAAACTGGGTCAACCAAGTGTATGTGTCAGAATATATCTCGCATTTAGTTACTTCAAAACCAACCTTTCAGATAGGAATCACTGTTCATTTGTTTGAATATGTTTGAGAAAAGTGGCTCAACCGCCCGCCAGTGGATATAAAATCAACTTGTTAGCCAAGGCCAGGTTATTTTGGTTGATACAGTGTTGTTACTGTGGATGCTTGCGACATCCCGCACCAGTTGCTGGTGAAATTCCATGTTTATCCCTATCTAAAAAGTCCCATGATTTACACAGTTATGGCCCAACGAACAGTCATTTCTTTTGGGGGATTATTTCATGATCTATTTCACCAACTAGTTATTATAGTAGGATATATATATATATGGATATATAACTTATTTTTCACCTTAGTTATAGTAGTTATAATATGTTACCCTCTGGTAAACTTTACCCTCTGGTAAACTTTTACATAACTATGGAAAATCACCATTTTTAATGGGTAAATCCACGAACTAAATTTTCAATAGCTATGACTGTTCGTTGGGCCAAACTGCAGCGTCTATTTTGTTTGGGGACGATCCTCCGGAAGCCTGATTGGAGGTTCTATCCCAACCTGATTGGAGGTGATCAGCATGGTTGTTCCCATAGCTTTATAACCATTGCTACACACAGAAAAAACTATGGAAACAAGCTTGTAAATGTGAAAAATCGGCCCTGGAAATGTGAAAATGAATCCTGGAATTAACCTTTGAAATGTGGAAAATGCGGCCTCGGAAATGTGCAAAATGAACCCGGGAATTGTGGAGAATGAACCTTTGAAATGTGGAAAATGGACCCCTTAAAGTGTGGAAAAATCGCTTTTTAAACGTGGAAACTCGGCCTTGGAAATGTGGAAAATGAACCTTTGAAATGTGGAAAATGGACCCCTTAAAGTGTGGAAAAATTGAATGAACCCTTGAAATGTGGAAAAACCGTTGCGAAACACGTTTTAGGAGCTGTAAAGAATGGTTGTCCAGGGCCCCCCCCAATATATGGATATATAACTTATTTTTCACCTTAGTTATAGTAGTTATAATATGTTACCCTCTGGTAAACTTTTACATAACTATGGAAAATCACCATTTTTAATGGGTAAATCCACGAACTAAATGGCCATTTTCAATAGCTATGACTGTTCGTTGGCCAAACTGCAGCGTCTATTTTGTTTGGGGACGATCCTCCGGAAGCCTGATTGGAGGTTCTATCCCAACCTGATTGGAGGTGATCAGCATGGTTGTTCCCATAGCTTTATAACCTTTGGTACACACACAAAAAACTATGGAACATCTTATTTTTGATAGGTAAATAATCTATGAATCATCTATGAATCATCTAAAAAAAATCCAATTTTCCCTCGCATTCCCTAGCTACTTCTTAGTTTACTGGAGGCACCCTGCCCCCTCGGATCGTTGGAGGTTTTCTCAGTTGTCTGGAGGAGGTGGAGAAACATGAGCTCCGATTGGCCTTGGAAGGTCCTTTTTGTTGGGCGAATTCATGGTGAACTGGCAGTTTTTTGATGCACTTGGGTATTCAGGTATTCCCTAAACATGGCAATTTTTGATGCTGGAATTTTCGAGTGTATTTTTTGGGGTACGGTACTGGTACGGTACTGTAGCCTATTGCTTGGGTGGAAATTCACATATCCCTTACGCGTGCGGACCTTAACATCAGCATCAGTGATCTGATGTAGTCAAAAGCCTATGGAGCCAGCCGTACCTTCTTAGGAAGTACGGCTGTACCTTTTCAGACAGTGGCCATGGATCCATAGAGTATATCTGATAAAGATGATCTAATGATATATAATGCTATTATGGATTTTTAGTGTTCTGCCGGTAATTCTTGATGACTGCACAAGTCCAAACAACATGAACCCGGGTAAATGCTAAAGATGTCACCGCCACCAGACTGGAATGATGGTTAGTATACGGAACTGACCCAACTCTTCAGCTTGGTGAATCATTATAATTTAGCATAGTTTATCACCATGTAATGTCAACCCCGGATCAATAAACCACAGTTTATTAACTAGATTAACTAGGGGGGTACTTCCCCAATAGTCATGATCTGATAGCTACATGGTACCCCCCCTTTTTTTCAACAATCGTTTGGGGATGAACAACAGCCGGCTCGCAGCCGGCTTTGAAAATGCCCCCAGATAGAAATGTTGGAAAGCCTGAAATTCTATTGAAGTATGCGATATACACATACAGATACATGTGATATATATATATATATATACGTATAGTGTAAACTCCCGGTAAGAAAGTTGTGCTCCTATTGTTTTTCATCTTTGCTGATTGATTTAAGTGTGATTCAGGATTTATATTCCCAGAATCATTGCAATATGCTGAACAGTCTGAATTCCAGCATTCCATCAGCTGGTTGTTCTTCGGTATCCAGCCAGCGGGATGGGTCAAAACTCATTACCATGGGGAAATACACATCCATTCACCAGTTTTTTGTTCGAGTACCGAGGGTCTCAGGGTTTTTTTTGACTCATACCCCAGTTATACCCATCTCTATTTCTTCGAGCTTTGGAAGGAAAATCAGGAACCCTCCATGATTTTGCTGGTCCAAATCATGGTTTTTCCGATTAAGATTGTCCCTTTAAACTTCACGCATCAGCTTTTGGTACGGGGGGGCAAGAACTTCCAATGTTCAAACAGCTGTCCTAAAATATCAATATGAAAGAATCTGAATATATAATGATGTTTTATGTTATGAATTGAAGATAGTTATATATTATATTATATCATGAATGTAGTATATGAATACTGTATCTATATGTATCTATATATAATGTTGACCATCAATTATGTAGTTACTTAAAAAAATGTGATAAATCATGTTCATGCTACACCGCACTCAAAGAGCTGCTCTATTCATTGGATTGGTTTTCACGGGAAAATCTATAGGAAACCCCTAGATTTCATGGTAAAAACCATGGGCCTCCGGTGAAGATTTTCCCTTTTTTTAACCAATCCCTGCTGGTCGTCGAAATTTCTACGCCAGGTGCCTTAAGACTTTTGGAGTCCCTGCGTGTGCTGCTGACCTCACGCTGTGCTTTGGGAGGTGGGATAACAATGAGCTGGATGATTGGGATACCATGGGGAATCGCCAGCAAATAATGGGATATATTACATACATATCTGGTTGGTGGTTTGGAACATGAATTTTATGACTTTCCATCTATTTGGAATGTCATCATGGGGTAGGTATACCACCAACCAGACAGATATATTCCACATATAAAAATAATCCATATATAATCCAGATATATTCCATATATAAAAATAATCCATATATAATCCATATATATATATATACATATATATATATATACAATATTCCATACAATCCATAAACCACCATTCGGGAATGGTAAACATACCACCTATAAAAATGGTGAAATTGGGGGATGGTAAACATGGCATTGTTTTACCCACATGAGTTCTTTGTTTTTCGATCTCTAAAACGTGGGTTTCTCCGGTTTCTCCCTCTAAAACATGGTACCATGATATGGCACAGGCGGCTGGGACAGCTTGGAGCATAGCAAAATCGTCTTGGAAGAACTCGCAACGCTTCCCAGCGAGGACTTCATTTTTTCTCGTGGGGCCCGTGGGGGGATGGGCTGATGAACCTATGACAGTGCGTTACGTGGGGATTTTTGTTGGATTACCCTCTGGTAATTTAACAGTTTGCTATTGAAAATCACCATTTATAGTGGATTTTCCCATTAAAAATGGTGATTTTCCATAGTTTTTTGTATGTTTACCAGAGGGTAAAATGAAGCCATCTGTTAATCATGTGGGTATACCATCTATTAATATCATTAATCATATGTTAATCATCTACCAAAGCCCTTTGTGTCAGAATTTCCACTACAGAATGCCAGGCCTCTTGGGGCCCACTATAAACATCTATAAACCCTCTGGAACCTATTTATAGATTAAACATGATAAAACCATGAAACGTGGACTATCATGCGGTGTTCATTTTCGAAGGCCCGCCTTCTTCATCAAAGCGTGTCATAGCTCCATTCTTTTTTTTTGAAGACACCTAGACCATCCTAGACCCGAAAAGATTATAAGTTATTATATAAGATTATATAAGTACTACATCTTTTTGGGTAACAAAACAATTTTTATGAGTCAATTGTTGGTCTCGGCTAGCCATAAAACCACCCTGGTGGTGCGACGCCTCTGCATCAGGATGCGGCGGAGTTGTTCCAGCGCCGATGTGCTCGACAACTGTACAAAGAAGACTTTGAGGCAACGCGAAAATTAAGAAAAAACTTGTGGAGAATGTGATTTAAGTGGATTTACTGAGTTTTAACTAACCAAAGATGGGAATTTAATGCGGATTTAATTGTGATAATAATCATGGAAGTCATGGAGCTTTAACTTCAACAACACTAGGGATTTTGTTCGGGATACACTTGGGACAGTCTGGGATTTTATTGTGGGATTTACCCTAGCCATGGTGTCATGGAGAGCTCCGTGGCTGGCAATTTTGGACATCCGCAATAGCCGACACGACTCGAGGTTTGGGTAGTTCGCTGGGAAAATCATCGTTAAATGGATTTTCCGGCCACATTACCCTCTGGTTATGTCAAAATAGCTGTTGAAAATGGTCCATAGAAGTAGTTGATTTACTCATTAAAGATGGAGATTTTCCATAGTTTTTTGTATGTTTACCAGAGAGTATTATGCAATCAACCTTCACTGGGGTGCATTTTGAATCCCAAGTCGTGTTGTGACTAGCCGCTAGCCATTTGGATCATCCAAGTCATAGAGGTACACCCAATTTCAACCAATTTCATAAACCTGGGATGATAAAAATTGGGCATGAGTTTGGATTATTTGAATAGTTTTTTACCATCCATAAACCATGCATAAACTCAATTTATACACATTGGGCATGGTTTTGGGCATGGTTTATGGCATGGTTTATGGACTGAGAAATCCACGATTCGGTTTTTCGTTGGGAAGGGAATATGCGGCGAATGGGTTAACCAACGGCTTGAAAGCAGTTAATTCACTACATGGAAATCCTTGAGCCATGTATGGAATGTCGGGGTTATACGAATTCCAGTTTTATAACTGTTTGGCTTAAAGTTATAATAGTTATACTAAACCATAATCGTTATCATAGTTTTTTTTCCATAACCCCATTAGTTTTTAACCCAGTGTTAAAACTATTTGGCAGATTCTTTTTTGGGGGGGAGAAGTCATGGCAGCCATGTGCAGATCTCACGATCGATCGGTTTTTGTGTCATGGCATATCCACATTGGGGGGGATCGTTATGCAGGGTCATACCACCCTGAAAACACAAATTATAGTGGCGAACTGATAAGGATTTCAAATAGTGCTGGGATCATCATAGCCCATGTGGGTGTCTTTGAAAACAGGGCATAGCCGAAATCCAATGGTTCATGGTTTATCATGGTTTATCATGGTTTATCATGAAAAGATTCAGGCAGCTCTGTTGTATCAATGTTGCAGCTGATGCTGTGCGCGCTCACTCTTTTGTACTGTTGGCAAACAGTCTCAGGATAGCTTCAGGCTCAAGGCCTGTTGATCCATAATGTTGACAGTGACATCCAGCAGCTGTTGAACTGTACACGAATTGTGTGTTGGACAATGTTGTTACTTAACACGGCCCCTCAATTTGTTGGAGCTTCCAACACATTGCACAAAACAAACATTGTTGAAACGCAATCACATTATGTTGATACTATTGGATTAGGTGTTGATCTCTGTACAGGGCTGATGGCTTGTAGTTTTACATCTGTTGCCCAGCCGCAGATGTTGATCAAACACTCATCTAATTTTGCGCATTCCCGGCTCTCACGTTTGAACCTCTTGTTGCGCAGGGATCTGCTGAAGATCCAAAGACTGTTGGTTGAGGTGCCAGTCTCACCTGTTGGATGACTTCTCATCCTTCCATCTGTTGATCATCATCGGTTGTTGCGCAATTCTCACGCAGCAACTGTTGGATCTCATCCTTGGGCACGGTGAGTGGCAAATTGTTGAGGCGCCACACATTGATCGCTTGAAATGGTTGTTGATCATCTCTTCTGTCCACTGTTGCTCGACCCATGTTGCCAGGTGGCTGTTGCCTCTGATCCTCTCAACTGTTTTGGCTCCTTGGAACAGGATGTTGCCTGTGTTGATGCCGCTGGTGATGCTGGTGCTGTGCATCTGTTGCAGCATCTCCATCACAGCATCCCTGGTGGATGTTGTGAAATGATGGAGCATCTGTGCTCCACCATACTCCAAACATTGGAGTACGAGCCTCTTCTCCTGTTGTGTTGATTCCACGTTCATGTTGGACACTTGGACCGGGATGTTGTAGGTCCACATCCAGTCCTTGTTCCACTGGAAATAGTTGCAGATCTGTTGAAGCATGGTGTTGCCTCCATCTGCATTGGTCTCCCAGATCTGTTGGGATGCCAGCTCAAACGTTGTGAAACGAAGGTTGCATCCACTCTCGATCTGTTGCTGTGGATACATGTAGCCCCTGTTGAACATGTTGATCACCTGGTTGCCTGTTCGAAGACGATGTTGTTGAACATCCTCAACCCAGGTAATCATGAGCCACTTTGTTGGAATCTTCGTTGTAACATCATCTCTGTTGCGTGCATGTACATTGTTGTGAGCGCCAGTTGTGGCGAAGGCGCTAAGATCAACTTGTCGAAGTTGGGCATACGTTGGCTGCCCAAAAGTGCTGGGATCACCGTGTTGGTTGACTCCCTAGCCGTCTCTGTTGGTTTGATGGAGTTGTACTCCTCGATGGTCATCAAAACGACAAAACAAATTCATGTTGCAATCCGACTTGTTGTCTAAGACAGTCATGTTCCAGAAAGAAAATCACTGAGTTGAATCTCCATGTTGGCCACCATGTTGAAACTTCCCAGTAAATGAATATGTTGATATACTCCATGTTGAAGTAGATAACGTAGATATAGAACATGTTGTCAACCTTTGTTGACACCATGGCTCAAAAAGAAATGTATGTTTGTGTGTGTGTATATGCCACGCACGATGTTCGCACGTTGTACACGCGTCCGCACGTTAACACGCTAGCTACAGTGAAACTGTTGTTGTTGTTGCTTGTTGCTTGTTGTTGTTTGTTCAGTGATGCTGGGTGCTGATGCCAACATCACTGATGTGACGCAAAAGCGTCTCTTTTGCAACGTACTTGGTGAAGATGTCGGCCGGGTTGTTGATCGTGTTGATCTTGACAATCCTCACAAGGTCGTGTGCGACCAATTGTTGTATGAAAAGGTGTTTGAGCTCGATATGTTTGGCTTTCTTTGATGCTCTGATTCTTGTTGCCATGCTCTTTCCGCTTGATGAGTCGGTATATATGCGGATGTTGATCTTCTTCATGTTGAGAGCTTCCTTCAGGAAATTGCTGATGTGGAGTGCTTCTGTTGCTCCTGTGTTGATCGCATAGAGTTCTGCTTCCGCGCTGCTCAGCGCAATTGTTGCCTGTGTTCTGCTTCCGTAGTGGATTGTTGCGCCGAAGACTTTGATTAGAAATCCTGTTGTTGACTTCCTCGTTGTTACGCATCCTGCCCAGTCGCTGTCGACAAAGACTTGGATGTCTGGTACTGCTTCAGCTGTTGGTGTCTTGGTTGTAGGTCTCACGTATTGTTTGTAGTGTTGTGTTCCCTTGATGTACCTGAGCAAGTGCTTCAATTTCTGCTGGTCTGCTGTTGTTGGCTGTGTCAATGCTCTTGCAAGCTCTTTTGTTGCAAAGCCAATGTCTGGCCTTGTGTAGGTCATCCATTGTAGCTTGCCAACCATTCTTCGGTAGGCTGCGTGTTCTTCTTTGTTGAGTTCTTGTTCCATCTCTGATGTTGCTTTCAGAGTGTTGTTGCCTGGTGCTGGTGCTGGGTTGCAGTTGAGCATGCTGGCTTCTTCCAGCATCTGCGTTGTGTAGCTGTCTACTAAGCTGATCTCGTAGTAGTCACCTTTGTTGCAGATGTTTCTGCCCAAAAAGCTGATGGTGTTGCCGACTGTGAGTTCTCCTGTTGGACGGAGTAGGAGGTGTTGCTGGATGCTCTTGAACAGCTTGTTGACCGTCTCCTGTTGTCCAATGAAGAGCAAGTCGTCGACGTAGCATAGTATGTATGCATCTCCCTGTGGTGTTGCGTAGACGTTGGGCTCGCTGACAAGTCGTCGTGGTCCAAGTTGTTGCATCACCTCTGCCAGGTGATTTTGCCATGCTTTTGGGCTGCTGCGTAAGCCATTGATGGCTTTGTTGAGCCGCCAGACGATCTGGTCGAAGGCGTTGTAGAACTCTGCTGGTGGATACATGAAAAGATCTGCTGTTGCTGCTGCTGCATGTAGAAAGGCTGTTGAAATGTCTCCTGTGAGACAAATCCAGTTGTTGCAAAGTGCCAAGACGAGTAGCATCCTCAGAACGCAGAAGATTGGTGTTGACGCGAAGATGTCGTCGTTGTCATTGATCTCCTCTGTGTAGCCCTTTGCTACAATTCGTGCTCGAACTGTGTTGCCTTTCTGTCGAAGAACCCATCTTGACTTGATAATCTTCTTGCGTTGCTCTGGTGTGAGTTGACTTATGTGTACTTCTGTGTACACTCCTTGTTCCTTCATTGACTTG